GAGTAGTCCATAAAAAGAATGCAAATGCACCTCCCAATCACATCGAACCCGAGAAAGCACCTCCACCACCAACTCAGAGGAAACCCTTACACCACATTATTCAAGCCTATTCTTCAAAATTAAACTGATATGAAGATCTAGTGATTGCACTAAATGACAGAAACTATTTTTTTTAGTAAAATCTTACAAATTCCTAAACACGATTTTTCATGAAAAAAACCCAGAATTCAGATTGGAGAAACAATTCATTCTGGCACGTCAATAATTCGTTAAAAATTTAACGATAATGAATTATTAATAATTAAGTCTTAATTAAATAAAAATAAAAATAACCATATATTAAATTTTTTGAATTGAATGAGAAAAAAATATACAAAAATTAAATAAAAATGATCAATCTTTTAGTTGCTAAATTTTAAATACCAAGATAGAAAGAAAAATAGGTTAGAGCTGACATGACACATTGTGATTGGCCCATTTTTGTAACTACCTTTATTTATTTATTTTTTCGGGTAAAAGAGGTAAATTCTGAAAACATTAAGAGGGATTATTGACGCAAAAAAAGCTTTAAAAGTATCAAAGTGGAAAAATAAGGAAACATTAGGGGGCATATGTTGAATATAGCCTTTTCGATATTATAAGAGGATTCTTTAAGCGCGACATCTCTGGTGATCAGAATTGGAATTGTTGGATGAATTTATGCTGCAGGTAACTACATCTTTCACTGAAACAGAAAGTTATCAGCATACCTACAAGCATCGGTAAACTTAGCTTAGCTTTATATGTGAACCTGACAAGTGACAACTAAAGTTCTTGTTTCTTGCAACCCTGACTTGCAGCTCAAATGACTAAGCGGCACTTCCATAATCTCTGCTTTGCTCTTGTTTATTATAAAAGATTCTATGGAGTTTATTGATTTGTTTCAAATTGCTGACTTTGAGGAGCACTATTTTGTTGCTTATGCAATCAATGATGCCATGGTATGTCCATCTATTTCTCTTCGGTTTATCCTCATATTCCTCCCTCTGAATTTCCTTGATTGCTGCATGGAGCTCCATAAATACAGTTGTAGGTTTATTTATACAGAGAAGCGCAGTTTTCCAATAATGAAAACAAGAAGTACAGTTGTTGGTTTATCTACTTGTGCGGTGGACCTTAAATGGCCCTGGATCAGTGAAACATTTTACAGCTCGAATAAGTATTGATCTCATCTTGAAATTCACATAAATTAACGACTTAGCAGCTAAAAATGAGGCTGCATTGAACTGCATGTTTTTGTTCAATCTTGCTCCCACATTTGTACCCTTCTCATGATCCGAGAGCTCTTTAGCTGATGCATGTCCATGAGAAAATGAGGCAGCTCCTCTTCATCGTACATCTCTGGCCAACTCGGATGAACAATTTAGTAGCAGAGAAGCACGTATGACAACACCACGTGCATGCAGAGGTATTGTCAGGTAAAAAGGGACCTTCCCAATCTTTTCAAACTTAAAAACCTTCTGCACTGAAATGTGTTATAAAGGTTGTTATGACTTGCTGCGTCCATCTCTATGCATGTTTTATTGGCTAAACTATAAGTTTATTACTTAAATTATTACTTTTATTTTATTTTAATATATAATTTTTTTAAATTACACCTAGTATTTATTACTTATTTTATTTTTATTAATCTATAATGAATACAAAATAATATTTATTTAAATACTCTTAATTATTTAATATTAAAAATTTATCTCCTACTTCATTACTAATATTGAAACAAAAAAATAATTCTTTAATTACTAATATTGAATGAGTGCCTATTTTATTTTGTTTGTTTCGAGAAATTGGATCCTTATTTTTCTTCTGCTAATGCTAGCTGTTTGCCAAACGAAACGTGGTGGGACCTGAACAGCACCATTCATACGTGGGGTCAGAACTCTGAATCATTGGTCGGTTGCTTTTACCTCTCTTAGTATCTCTCTTTAATCTTTTTATGTTATAAAATGTTTTTTTTTTGGAACGAGGATGGCCAAAACGGCACCTTGGGTGTCAGGTTTTGAAAGATATGTTTTTACAATCTTAAAAATTAATAAATTCTATATATTCAGATATTTTTTATTAAAAATATGTTTTTACAATCTTAAAAATTAATAAATTTTATTATATTTAAAATTTTATAAATATAAATATATTTTAATATAAAATTATAGGTTCATCCCTATCCATTTGAACGTGAAAATGTGACTTTCTTGAAAGGACACGAGTCTATTTCTATTTGTTTTGATATGCTCAATATAGATTGATGCCGTGGCGGTGGCTATTAATTAATTATGCTTTTAGTAAATGGATAATCTGTGTATGTAGTCATCTGACTAATTTTAGTATTATATTTTGATTATCTAATTGTTTCTTTTAAAATTATAACTAAAATTGTATTATTATTCTATTTTAGTTACCTTTCATTAAAAAAAATATTGTTATTAAATTTTTTTTAATTTTTTACGGGAGATGATCGAAACAGGAAAAAATAAACTTAACTATAACTTTTTTTTTAAAAAAAGACCGTTAAATGACTAAAATAGAACAGTAAAACTAGTTAGCTGATTAAATGTGTAATTTACGCTTACGAAATTATAGTATTGTGAAACTGTTCAGATTAATTATTTGATGAAGCAGAAATGAGTAATTTGGGCCCACAGAGGGAAACAACGTGTGTCCAGAAACACGTTGATCTAATCCTTATTCGTCCACTAAGCGAAATAAAAGAAAAGGTAAGATTTAAATAATCCAATCTAAAGAGGCGAAATTTTACATTGCAACGTTCCTAATATACAATTAAAAAAATATTATTAATTTTATTATTACTTAATAATAAAATTGGTAAAAAAATTATTTAAAATATTATTATTTTTATTTAAAATATCAATATTTTTTAACATTTTTGATAAAGTGTCCAACAATAATAAAATCGGTAGAAAAAATAACAAAATCGATAGAAATAATATTATTTCCGGTAAAATTTTACAGATTTTGTTATTTAAATAATAACAAAACCGATAATATTTTTTTAACCGTATATTAATACTGCCGTAAATGATTTCCTAAAAAGTGTAGTTCCTTTCGGGAATATCATTTCCTTTGTATTGCCGCCTGCCTATTTCCAATCTGCAATTTCTTTCTTTTTTATCTATTCTTTTATTTGATAATTTTTTCAACATTGATTATTATATTCATAATATTTAAATTATGGATATTAGGCTTCATTTTAATGCTCTACATTTTGTAGTTTGGATTTGTGTTTAAAATTTTGAGTGGAACATCAATGTTTGGATTTGTGGGAGGAGATTAGAGCAGGCATAATCATTAACCTTCGCCTTAAACCAATGACATATTTAAAAATATTTTTCAAGGTGAATATATATATAAATAACATAAGTTTTTTATATAGAGCGAATAAAAATAAAAATAAACACTATCAATAAAATAAATAATTAATATTAGAAAATTTATATTTTAAAATAAACATGTGTACATCATTCAAACACATACATCCGCTTCTGCCTTAAACCAAGAAAGGTTGCTTCACACCGTTCCAAGTGCCTAAGTTTTTAATGGTTAAACGGAAAGCCAAAAGCTGTATTGAAAAGGTCAAGAAATAATAATACCAATAAGAAGAAGAAAATAGTAGAAAAGGAGAGTTTGGGTCCCCAATTGGAATATGAAAATAAAATAGAAAAGATGAGGAGAGAATTAACCTCCCTTTTATAGTTTATTATTAAAATATATTATTTTCTTAGTTATATATAATATAATATAATATAATTTTAATTTAATTTAATTTTATTTTATTTATATAAATAACATTTTTTACATGTATGATAAGTGTTATAAGTAGCGGATAATATTTTTTTGAGGGTGAACACATAGATATTAATAATAAAAAAATTCATATGAGGTAGACACAAATAAAATTTTAGTATAAGTATTACCAATAAAATTAACAATTAATATAAGAAAATTCAGATTTCAGGGTGGGCACATGTCTACCCTGACCTCCATGTACATCCGCCACTTAGTGTTATACAGTACATTTTTTTTCTGAAAAATATGTTTTAACTAATAATTAGTATGCATAGTGAAATAAAATACTAGATTCTTTAAATAAAGTTTAAGGTTAATATATTAATGTTTATGAATGTAAGAAATTGAGTTAAGAAAGTCATTTTCATAATGAATTAATCTCAAAATATATCAAATATCGATGATTAATTCAATAAAATAAATTTTATTTTCATAAATAATAAAAAAAACAATATATTTGAGTAACAAAGCACCTTTCACTTCCCACCACATTTATTTATTCATTTGTTTTGTTAACATCATTGTTTTTTAGAAAAGGATACACTCATTGTGGAATATCTATGTTAAAATGTTATTCTGCCTTTCTATGCTTTGCAGTTGCGGTGCTTTTGTGCATGTTACTTCTCCTTCCCGGGTCAACTTTTGGCGTCTTTTTGAATTTGGGTTCCCCATCCATGCTTATTTTCTTCCTTCAAAACCAACACTTTTACTGCATTCCATCATTCTTTTAGTTAATGAAGATGAAGAACAAATATGTACAATCACTGGGTATGTCAAGTGCTTTCAGCACAAAATTTCCACTTATTTATTGTTTACAAATTGTCCTCCTTTGTGATGGCAAGAAGAGAAAAATAATAGCAAGCAATCACCTTTTTAGCTTTCTTAAGCATTTGTAAATCTACTTTATTTATTTTTTGATCGAATTTATAAATCTACTTTCACAAGAAACAAAAAAGTAATACAAGCGATGGTAGGGTAGGACTTAGGAGACTGTAATTTAGCTCCCAAGTAACCCACACTTCACAATGCATTGTTTCTTTCTTTTTTGAAAAAAAAGTAGGTACTTTTTTGTACAGTGTTGTGGTGGGAACATTTCCACTGGCTATCCATATCTTATCTTTCTAAAACAAAGTCACACTTACCATTTACTGAGCTTAAATCGGGCGCCACTGTTTGTAAGCCCTCCACAGCCTTCATCTTCTTTTGTTTTTCTTTTTCATTTTTCTTTTCTTAATTTGTTTGATTCATCAAACATGGGTTGTTCGCCGTCTAAGCTAGACAATGAAGACACTGTGAGGCGGTGCAAGGAGAGGCGCCGCTTTATGAAGGAAGCCGTTAACGCTCGACACCACTTAGCCGCCGCTCACGCTGATTACTTCCGCTCTCTCCGTGTCACTGGCTCTGCTCTCTCCTCCTTCGCAGCTGGTGAGCCCCTTTCCGTCTCCGACGAAACCCCTGCCGTCGTTATCCACCCTGCCAAACCTTCTACGCCACCCACCAATCCTATCCCTCCACGTGTCCCTCAATCACCTTCCCCTTCTCTCCACCCTCCTCCTCCTCCTCCGTTCTCTCCTTCGCCTGCCCCTTCTCCCACTATCGCTAGCTCCAAACTCCCTCACATTCTCTCCGCTTCAAGTCTCCCATCTCCGGCACCCAATCGTCGCCGGCTACGTAAGTTACCGCCAAAACTCCCGCACATTTTGTCCGAGTCGAGTCCTTATTCTTCACCTCGAAGCTCGAAATCCGGTTTTTCAAACAACTTTTTCCCCACAGCTTTTCAAGCTAATTCCACTTACTCTGACACTCATTCTCAAGCTTCTTCTGTTTGGAACTGGGAAAACTTTTGCCCTCCCTCCCCGCCGGACTCCGATTTCTTCTACCAGAAGCTTCAACAACGAAAGCAACAACTGCCCCAACGCAATCACCATCATTTAGACTACAACAGCAGCCATGAAGATACCGAAACGGAAAAATCAGAATACGATTTCTTCCATCCACAAAAACCGAATCATGGTTACAACATCAATTCGGATCACGCTAAGAGTAATTTCAATGAGGAAACCGGAAGAGAAGAAGTTCAATGTAGTGAATGGGGAGATCACGAACACGACAATTACACTACAACGAGTTCATCAGATGGTGAGGCGGAGGAGAGCGATTACTTGGCATCCAGATCCGAGATTGAGAATTTCGGGTCCTCTATGAGAGGGGAGTCGGAGAAGTTGCGTAATCTTCATAATCAGACTCCTCCGCCAGCCCAGCCACCGCAGCAGATGTATGGAGGCGCCGGTGGTAATAAAATGGATAGTAAGTCGGAGGATGCGGGATCGGCGGCCAGTTTTAGAACTGGTGCTATGATGGATATGAAGATGGTGGTTAGACATAAGGATTTGAAAGAGATTGTCGATGCGATCAAAGAGAATTTCGACAAAGCCGCCGCCGCCGGAGATCAGGTATCAGAGATGTTAGAGATCAGTAAAGAACAGCTTGATAAAAGTTTCAGGCAATTGAAAAGTAAGCTTCTAACATGGAGAAATTTTAATAGTTCAAAAAAGTAATTAGTCTTATTTAGTTTATTTTGTGATTAAAAAAATTACAGGAACGGTGTATCATTCGAGTAGTATATTGAGTAACTTGAGCTCGAGCTGGACTTCAAAGCCTCCGTTGGCGGTGAAATACCGGCTTGATTCGGCTGCCCTTAGTGAACCGGGCCGTTCTAAGAGCCTTTGTTCTACTTTGGACCGGCTCTTGGCTTGGGAGAAGAAGCTGTGCGAGGAGGTTAAGGTAATTTTTCTTCTTCTTCTTCTTCTAATTTGAGAAAAATAAAATGTAAAAGCTCTTTCCTAATTTCGCGTTTGAGATGAATGAGTAGGATATCAACAAACATTTGATGACGGTGATGACAGTGTTTTTATTTTTTTTATGTAATCTTTAATAAAATAATTAAAATTCTTATTTGTGAATTAAATACAAAATTAATAATTTTTTATCACCCACCCATAATTATTTATTAATTTAAATTTTGTAAATATATAATTTTATATAAAATATTTTCATTATGAAATTTTGAACAAAGTAGCATCATTTGGAGTGTATATATTATATATCATTGATGTATAAATTGGAATTATTTTCAGTAATAGTATAGTAGCATAGCACGAGTCAAGTGATTTTAGTGGTTGCAGTCGGTTAAAGAAATTATTATTATTTCTGGAGGATCGGGGTTTGAGCGTGACGTTTACAGAAGTGTTTGAACATCTTCCCACGTTTCTTATTGGGTTTTTGTCCTTCAAAATAAAAATTAAAAGCTAAGGGAAAAAGTTGCTTGGAAACTTGAATGATGTTGTAATTATAAAAGTTCTTTTTCCCCCCTACCTTATGATATTATCTGCTAGTATTCTTGAATTGGTTGGACATTGAAATTCTTGTGTTATATATTATCATCTCTTGGATAAGGAAATAAACATGTGGCGCCAATATAATTTGATAAACTACCTGGTGGTTGGGGTTCCTCCGATGATGAAATTACGCCATTACAGTGACGTATGTTGGAGCCATGTTGTTTCGGATGAGTGGCTAATATAGGCAATAATTCTTTCCACAATTTCAGGCTAGAGAAGGAGTAAAGATTGAGCATGAGAAAAAGTTGTCAGCATTGCAAAGTCAAGAATACAAGGGGGAGGATGAAGCCAAGATAGACAAGACCAAAGCTTCCATAACAAGGTTGCAGTCCCTAATTATCGTTACATCTCAGGCCGTGTCTACCACCTCTACTGCCATTGTCACGCTTCGAGACTGTGATCTCGTTCCTCAGCTTGTCGAAATTTGTCATGCGTAAGTAGTCTGTTCCTCCTTTTGTTTCTCTCTGCTTTTATCTTGAAATGGATAGGGCATTCTCTTGAGGTGTTGTTTATCATTCGACGCGACTATATGCATCACATAAACCATAAAGTCATAATTTCGACACTTTTGGTATTTATAGATTGTTTGTGAGTTGCCACTTTGAATTTTACTTTCCCCATTTTCCATCCTTGGAAATTATTTCTTACTTGAGAGAACTTGTTGGCATGCTTCAAGGAAGGTGAATCATTATGATTCAATGCTCTGCTATGTCACATGATCATGCCCTTAGCATGTTTGCCTTGTAGCCCTTGATTTTATAGATTTTTATTTTAGCTGAAAACCTTATTCTGAATTCCGAGTATAGAAATTCGTCATGGTTAAACAATTTTGGTGCTAAATGAATGTCAATTTGAACATATGCAGCTTCAGGTATATGTGGGCGTCAATGAATCAATACCATGAAGTTCAGAACAATATCGTGCAACAAGTCCGTGGCCTCATAAACAGATCAGGGAAAGGTGACTCAACTTCCGAACTGCATCGGCAGGCAACACGTGATCTTGAGTCAGCGGTCTCCGCATGGCACTCTAATTTCTGCCGTTTGATAAAGTTTCAGCGGGATTTTGTCTGCTCTCTCCATGGCTGGTTCAAGCTCACCCTTCTTCCTGTCAGCAACGACAATGTCAATGGAAACACAGAGCCTTCTAGCGTTTATGCATTTTGTGACGAGTGGAAGCTCGCTCTTGACCGACTTCCTGACACAGTAGCTTCTGAAGCTATCAAAAGTTTTATCAATGTTGTCCATGTCATATCCGTTAAACAATCCGAAGAGCTCAAGGTTAAGAAGCAAACTGAAACGGCATCGAAGGAGCTTGAGAAAAAGGCATCATCTCTGCGCAACATAGAAAGGAAGTTCTACCAGTCATATTCCATGGTGGGTGTCGGACTTCCTGAATCCGGGCCTGAATATGGGCAGGTTCTAGATGCTCGGGATCCCCTGGCTGAAAAGAAATCGGAGCTTGCAGCTTCCCAAAGGCGGGTGGAAGATCAAATGATGAGGCATGCCAAAGCAGTGGAGGTTACAAGAGCAATGACACTGAATAATCTTCAAACAGGGTTACCAGGAGTATTCCAAGCATTGACCAGCTTTTCTGCATTATTTACGGAAGCACTTGACTCAGTTTGCTCGCGCTCCTATCATATCAAATAGATGAATACATGGAAATTTTGAGGTCAGTTGAAATTTGTAAGAGCTGTGGACTCGTATATATATTATTTTTTAAGTTTGGTTTTTCTTTTTAAAATGTGTAAATACTAAGGAGTTGTTTTTGTGGTTTTGTCAGATCATCAACTGTGTGTATAGGAAACTGCTCAGATTATTGTATGAAAAGAGAAAAGGTTGCCATGTCGACAGATGAATAGATACTCCGATTGCAACTTTCTTCCAACTGTGTGTTTTGTGTATTATTTTTGGTTTTTTTTAAAAAGGGATAGAGGTTGTTTAAGGGTTCGAATTGGGTACAGGTGAAAGCTTCTCTCGAGGTAGGTAACGAACATGGTAGGGACCAATCTATATTGATAATCCTTACCATGCCTATCGGGCACATGAACCTTTACTTCCTCCTTTTTTTCTCCTTGAAAAGGAGAGGTTTTATCAAATGATCAAACACATTTAATACGGTAAATGAGTTTGGTGCAACATTTGTCTCACGTAAATGCTGGAAGAACAGCTCAAAAATAGTATTCCCCCCATTCTATTAAAGTTGTTCTTTTTAATTTTTAAAATGTACTATTAAAAAATTTAATAAATAATAAGATTTATCTTTTCAAAGATAGTTAAATGATGAATGATGTAATTTAGCCATAAAAAAAATACATGCAGCAGTTCGGTAAGTTATTAATGACGGTGTACTAAAATCAAATGAAAAATAAATAAATATTAAGTATGATTTTGAAATAAATGAAAATTTAGGCTTCAAACGAAATTATTATTAAAGTTTAGTTACTAAGCGTAAAGTTTACCGAAGAAATAAAAAAAACTTTAAAATAAGAAAAGTTGTTAAAAAATATTTTATCAAAAAGAATCTACAGTGAAAAAAATACTGTGTGTCGGCTGTATTCTTGTCTATTTTAACTTCACTTTTATTTGGAAGTTCTGTTTGGTTTCATAATTTAAAATTCTAATTGAAGTTCTGCTGGAATAAGGTTTTGTGGTTTTTTGAAAAGAAAGATTATTTGGAAAATAAGGGGTTGGAGGTGGTTAGTGTGTATTTTTCATTCGAAAAGAAATGACTAGTTTGAACCCTTTTGATTTGTTGGGAGATGATGATACTGGGGAACTCTCCTTGCTGATCGCTGCTCAGCAAAAGGCTGTTGCAGCCGCCACTGCCACTGCTTACGCCCCAAAGGAAGGCATCACAAAGTCTCAAGCTAAGCCGCAGCCTCTTGCTCAGGCCAAGCTTCCCTCCAAGCCTCTCCCTCCTGCTCAGGCTGGTAAGTTTTGTAACCCCTAGACCCGGCCTATGCGTTTCGACTAAGTCTAGTGATCACATTATAATTATTAAAGACATTTTTCGCAACCATTATTTCATCAATATAAAATCACATTATAAATAACATGAAATTATAAACAATTTATACTATCAAAATACAACTCGTAAATATAGTACAAATAAATAATAATTTAATTTAAAACATGTCTTCAAATTCAAAATCACAATAAACCGAGCAGTAGTAGCAAAAGTGTTATCATTATAAAATCCGATATTTTAAAATAAGGCCCATGTCACCAAAATAAAGTCAACTTGCCAGATAAAAACATTACAATCTGATTTACTTCAAGAGATATGTTGATCCTCCAAGTGCTCGAACCAAGGTATCTACCCAACAGTATCTGAAAGGGGGAAAACATTTTCAAAAGGTGAGCTAGGCTCAGTGTGTCCCAACATTTTCATAAAATCACAATAGGTACAAATCATAGTCCAGTAATCTCACAAATTCGTAAAAGAGTTTAACTTTTTGAAAATCATAGTTTAAACCCTTTTCTGGTACACCATCAGTAGTTCCCAAAATTATTTTCCATATAGCTTACTTTATGCACATAGCAAAAAGAAAGCCGACTTAAGGATAGGCTCTGAAGCTTGTATCCTTAAGCCCAAGTCAATAAGTACATATAGCTTACCCTAAGCACACAGCAAAGGAAAGCCGACCTAATGAAACATCTTGGGGCCCTCAAGAGTCACATTAGGCCCAGTTAGCTTGATCAGAGCTATTCCATCGTATTTCAATTCCAAAATTCAATTGTATCGTGACATAAATTCCATAAATCCAAAAACATGGTAATCATATACCATTTCAAAACAAAAATTAGATAGCAGCAATATTCCATAAATTGTCACATTAAATTGGTGCATCCATAAAACAATAGCCAATGAATTCGGTGTACCACGTATTAAAACCAATAAAACAGTTCAATAACAAGTAGGGAACACACCTCGACAATAGATTCAAATAACAAATCTACTGATTGCTGGTTTCACCACGCTCTGCTACAGTTTTCGAACGGGTGAATACTGGCACACGTGGTTTAACTGATCTAGAAGAGCTGGGTCGAGCTATCGAACGATCCGGAGAGTCTCTTGTACCTTCAAACAATAATATTTATCAGTCTCAAATCTTATTTAATTGTTCAAAGCTAAACTTCTTAAGTATATACGCATTTTTCGGGTTTGACTATCAATTTGAGGTATTTCGAGTCTGAATTTGGCCAAACGGATTGCGGAATCGGAATCAGGGCGTCGAAAAACATAAAGTATGACTTTTCGAAAATTCAAATTCTTGGTCAACGTCAAAGTCAACCACTTTGACCGTAGATTTGGAAACCTTCGGATTTGAATTTGACAAAACGGACCACGGAAACGGATTCGGCACGTCGAAAACTATCAGGATAGGTATATTCGGAAAAGATTAACGGTCGTTTAATGCTCGGTCAAAGCCATTTTAAGTTTTGGTCAAAGAAAGTCAACGGTCAACGGTTAACGGTTAACGGTCGGGTCGGGTCGGGTCAACGGTCGGGTCGGGTCGGGTCAACGGTCGGGTCAGATCGGTCAACGGTCGGGTCGGGTCGGGTCAACGGTCGGGTCGGGTCAGACCGGTCAAACCGGTTCGAACCGGTTGAAACCGGTCAAACCGGTCAGAACCGGTTTCCAGCAGCCACTCGCCCTGCGGCGGCGCGTGTGGCGCGTGAGGCGTCCTCCGGGGCCCTAAAAATCCCGGAAAAATTTCTAAAAATTATTTTGAGCGATTTCAAGATACTTACAACGATCGGTTCAAATTTTTGAACGGCGGAGAGCTCGATTTCAAATCGGCCGAATTTTTGACTGCACCACCTCCACACGCACCGCCGTCTATGGCGGACAAGGTTGACACCGGTGAACTCGGAACGGCACAAGGAACACGATGGTGCGGGAGGTGTCGTAAACGGAGCAACGATCAGTGGTGAATTTAAGATTTCCTCGGCGATAGAGCTAACAAAACCGTCGCTACTTTGACTGGAAATTCCCGACGTTTGGCCACGTTTCGCTTCAATTAATTTGAAGGGTTTGTTCCTCGCTCGATGATGAACACAACGGTGGGTTTAAAACGATGATCGGAATTTGGACGGCGTCGGAATCGGAGTTGGAAACTGCATATGGGAAAGGAAAATTGGGAGCGTTTTGGTTCTGAAAATCAGAACCAAATGTACGCTTATAATCAAAGCTGCTGACAGTTTTAGGGTAAATTCAAGGCTTGGTCCTTGGATTTCCTTCACTTCTAAAATGGCCTATAAACTCTCATAAATTTTGATTTAGTCACCAACAATTTACCAATTTTCACAATTAACCTCTAAAATTTCAATTAAATATTATTTTGTAAATATTCGGGTTGTTACAAGTTTTCTCTATGAAAGTTGCTCTTTAATTTTCAGCTCTGTATTGGGTCTCGATTTTTATGGATTGTGTTAAGTTGAAGTTATCTCTGGTGGGTTTTGAGTGTGTTTAATTTTATTATGCTTAGGTTTCGTTTTTGGTAAGTGAATGTTGGACTCTGATTGTTAGAATACCAGTTGTGAGTCATTTTCTTGGTATATAACCATGGAGAGTTTCTTGTCTTTATTCAATTATTTCTTAGAGTTAACATAGCAAAAGATTCTTAAAAGCATATTGGTTTGCTATGCTGTCAAGGTGCACTCAAGCTGCTGGGATCCTTAAATTCCCTTTTATCTATATGTACATACATATATGTATAATATAAGCTTCTGATATATGAATATATGATGATGGTAAGAAATTCCAAAGATTGATCCGCCTTATTATCCTACAAAATGTGAACTATATTATTTTTGTTGGCCAATATGCATGGTTTTCTTATGATCTCATGTCTGTTGTTGAATAGTCATGCCTATCTTCTTATGAAAAAGTGCTAGCAGACGCATTACCTAAGGTGCAAGAGGTCTTGAGGCATTTTTGGAGTTTGATACTAACGCGCAACGCCTAAGGTGCATGCCTTAACTATACAAATGAAATTAGAAGACAGCGGGGAACTTTTTCTTTTATATTCCTTGAAAGTGTAAATTGACATTCCATCAGTTCTGTGTTTTTGAACAAAGTGTTTATGCGATGGTAAGAAGTTTTGTCTTAAAGGAAGGTTGATAATGGTAGATTTGATCTCATTCATAGTTGTTCCAGTTAATCAACATGGAATTATATCTAATATTCTAATAATCTATTATAGTTACTTCCTTTATAGTATAAATCATGTAAAGCTGAAAGTTCAGTTTTTGAAGAGTTCCTGTTCTGTTTCTTGTGCTGTGGTCAAATCGGTGCTATTATATTTCTTGGGCTTATCATTGATGCTTGTGCGTTTTCTTCTTTTTTTAAGTGAGGGAGGCAAAGAATGAAGGTACTCGTGGTGGAGGCTGTGGTGGACGTGGGTGTGGTGGTGGTGGTGGATATAAACGATTTTGCCAATGATGAGAATTCTTTCAGAAATAGTGTTGTACCTGAAGATGGAGAGAGTGGAAAGCCCTCTGAAAGGCTTGGCTATGGGGGTCCTAGACCTTACCGTGGTGGTTGCCGTGGCGGTTTCAGTAATGGAGTGGTTGCGGATGGGGAGCGACCTCGCAGGTTGTATAAACGCCATAGTGGTACTGGACGCGGGTAAAACAACTTTTGGTTGCTTTTTTTTTTTCTTCATGTCTGCAGAAATGAACTCAAACGGGAAGGCTCTGGTCGTGGAAATTGGGGAACTCAGAGTCATGAACTTGCTCAGTAAGTTATTTTTAGCGGTTACTATCACAACTTCAATGTCATTGTATAATCAAATAAAACATCACTTAGTTTCATTCTCCATTCCTCATTGTAATCATAAAATGAAATGAAGTATTGTATTTTTATTGTTCAGTGTGACTGAAGAAGTTGCAAACGAAGGTGAGTGGAATTTAGGTGACGAAAAGCAAGCAAAAGAAGAGGAGGCGGGCGATGCTAACAAGGAGAGTACTACAAACGAACCTGGAGAAAAAGAGCCCGAGGACGAGGTACATGGTTATTTGATGTCTGCAACCTTTGTTAATTATAAATGAAAGCTACTAATTTGGCTAGTACTTTGTGCGATTCTTGATATTATATTTTTATAGGAGATGACTCTTGAGGAGTGTGAGAAGGTGCTGGAAGAGAAAAGGAAGGCTCTCCAGGCTCTAAAGACTGAGGAAAGAAAAGTAGATGCCAAAGAGTTTGAGTCTATGCAGCAGCTTTCAAATAAGAAGAGTAATGATGAGGTCTTCATCAAATTGGTATGACCTTTTGATTCTCTTTGAGAATCCATCATTAATGACTACATCATATTTTTTTGGAAAACATTTTTAATTTCCTTATAATTGACTTCTACAGGGATCTGATAAAGATAAGAGAAAAGAGGCTTATGAGAAGGAAGAGAGAGCTAAAAAGGTATGTTTACTTCTTTCTACTGACCTATGTCATAACTTGCTTCTTTTTCCAGTTTCTCTGAGAGACTGTCGGAATTCATTTAAGATTTTCTGGTAGTCTTTTTCTTTCATGACTTGCATAGGTGCACCGTTCTCTTTTTACTGTTTTGTGCAAATCTCTCTGTAGTTTCCATAATGTCCTTCTGGCATGTAGTGATGGTTCTATCTGTATGGTGGTCGTAGTCTGTCAGCATTAATGAATTTCTGAAGCCCGCTGAAGGGGGGAGGTACTATAATCCAGGTGGAAGAGGGCGTGGTCGTGGAGGGTTCGGTGGAGATGGTGCAATAAGAAATGTAACAACAGCATCCATTGAAGACCCTGGGCAGTTCCCAATCTTGGGGGGCAAGTGAGATTTCTCGAAACCCCAATCACCGCCCCAAGTCACGGAAAAGAGCCGCACACGGATCCCCACCCTGTTCGGTGGGGGATTTTACCCACAATTACGTGATGAGATCCAAATGGGTGCGCTTTCAATTCTGAAAAAAAAAAAGAGACGTGGACCTCTTTGTCACATAATACGGATGCGGCACAGCTTATCCCCTCCCAGTCCCGCGGTGCACGTTAGTCCCCTCCCCCACACTCTCCAACACCTAATCAGCCGCCCACCACCTACCCGCCCTTTTAGCCTTCCCCCTTCCTTCCGCAGCCCAATCTATGTCAACAAACCCCACTTTCTCCTCCCCTTCTCCTCCACCCCCGCCTTTATCTCCCACTTTTCCTCCCTTCTTTCTTCTCTTCCCTTCCACCCCCAATTCCCTTTTTCTGAAATGTACCGCCATCCTTATCTTTCACCCACCTCCCCCAAAGTGCACGCCGATCTTATCTTAACCTAATAGCGGACTAGAAATTTTTTAGATCCATGTCGAATCCGTCTTCTCCCTCGCCCGACCAGGGTCTACAATCGAACGCATCGCCTTCACCGCCACCGGAAGCGCTGTTGTCTCTCCCGGCGCCTCCACCGTCCAGATCTATTCCGGCGGATACAGCCACCGTCACACCCAATCCAAGGCGGCTACCACCACCTTGTTGGTCGCACGATGAAACCGTTGCCTTGATCGATGCCTACCGCGACAAATGGTACACGCTTCGCCGTGGGAACCTCAAGGCCAGCCACTGGCAAGAAGTGGCGGACGCGATTACCCGACGCTGCCCCGTCGCGACGCCTCCCAAAACGGCCGTGCAGTGCCGACACAAGATGGAGAAGCTGCGGAAACGGTACCGAACCGAGATCCAACGGGCTAGATCTATGCCCGTTTCGAGATTTGTTTCTTCTTGGGTCCATTTTAAGCGCATGGACGCTATGGAGAAGGGGCCTAATGTGAAATCTAATTACAACTCGGATAGTCCAGATGATGAAAACGGTGAAGACGAAGAAGATGGCCAGGAACAAGAATTTTACGACGATGTGTATAAGAACGGAACCCTAAATACGAGAAGTGTACAAAAGTTGTACAGAAACGGGGTTGGAAACAACGGTGGGAGTGTCAGCGGCAGTGTAGGCAAAGAGGGTAATAGCGGTGGGTTTAGGATTAAGATCCCAACTGGAGTTAGTATAGCACAACCAGGGCCAAGATATTATGGGAAAATAGATCAGAAATACGTTGTAAACCCTGATCCCAACCCTAACCTTAACACGAATTCTCATCCTAGTAAGGTTAATTTTGGTGGGTCGGGTTCCAGATCAGCTTACGGGACTAGGATTTTAAGAGGGTTTGGTGATATACCGGAAAAAATGGCATTCTCAGGGAAGAGGGAGAGGGAGAAAGATGCAGTTACTGAGATGGTGTCAGCTATAAAGGTTTTGGGAGACGGTTTTGTGAGGATGGAGAAAATGAAGATGGAAATGGCTAGGGAGATAGAGACGACGAGGATAGAGATGGAGATGAAGAGAACCGAAGTGATATTGGAGTCGCAGCAGAGGATTGTGGAAGCTTTCGCCAAGGCGGTTTCAGAGAGGAAGAAGAAGCCTAAAAGAATGCCCTCACCCCAGTCTTGATGTATAATGTGTTTTCAATCCTTTTGACTACGGATTTGCAAGTTCAAGTTGGTGGAATGTTTAAGGTTTTACTTCAATTTCCTGTTTCTTTGTTGATTATTGAATGATAGGGTTACTGTCCAACCTGATCTGCTGTAGCTTTTACGTCTTTTTTGTGGAACTAATGTAACTTTATTGTTCTGAACTTTGCACTTAATTGTAGTTTTTGTGATTGTAATCTTCATTTAGTCATAAGAACATTGGTCATTTGATGTTAGTCAGTGCATTTTGTTCTTTGATTGCTGTGCTCTGCCATCAAGAAGAAATCTTGAAGATGACATGGGAACTTTTATCTTTAACAAAGCACTTGGTCTAGGTGTAGGAATCAGCTGGAGAAAATGTGATCAAATTTTCATTTTGGGATCAAGAAAGTTGTTCCCAGTTGTTAAGTAACCGAAGCTGGTGTTTCGGTTTGTATGCACCATTCATTAAACAGTCAATAGGTTACATTAGCCATTTGTAAAATATTACTATGTTCACACCAGGAATTTTCTATGCTGTATCAAAAATGTTAGCCAACATTTTCACGAGGCCATTCTTTTCATAATGGGAGGTTCTGCATCATAATTTTGCAGCACTGTGACCTTCAGTCTGGGTCTTTTCACATCAAATCAGAAGCCGATTTACAAAACCCAAACACCTTGAGTTCTTGAAGATAGTACCCCCCCCCCCCCAAAATGTGGTGTTCACACTCTGATCAACCTATTGCACTCGATAAAATCAACACGAAAAGAATGTAATTAACATGATGGAGAATGCACATAAGAGGAGAGAATCACGTGGTCAACTTAACACTGGCTTTGCACTTGGAATTTGCTTAGGGAACACGGCATATATTTGCTCTCTTCTTCTGCTTCCTTTGCTTCGTAGGTTGAAGAACCACCTTGATAGCAGCGTCGAATACAGCTTTCACATTCTGCAAATTCCAACACACACCTTCTAAATCTTAAATGAATGCAAACCCAAAGCAAGAAGATATCAAATTAATTGACATGGAAGTGTTTATAATGGATTGACTTCGACATCATTTGATCTCCTGTTAGTTTAAACAATGTAAGACTGTTAAAGTGTATGTGATGGGCGCTTTGGATCAATAGTCTCATCATAGATGCTATACGAACCTGCTGTGTCTTTGAGCTGCACTCTATGTACGCAACTGTTCCTATTTGCTTCTTTAGTTCAAGACCTGACATCAAAAGTTAAGATATTGAATATTAGGCTGCAATATAAGTTAAGCTATCTGCTACCTGACATGGATTGCAACTCTACATCTTGCTCATTAAACGATGATAAAAATAAGTTTGTGAAAGGACGGATTGAACTTCCATTCAAATGTTGGAACCCATCCACTGACAATTTCCTTGATTTACGGCCAATACATGTTATCCACAAAGGTTTTCTCATTGTCTGTTTCTTTATAAAGCCTTCATTATTGCAGCACCATACCTTATCCAGGGACTACCTGTGCGGATTCTGTTGTATGTGGTGAAACAACTAACGGTGCCACAGACAATAAGAGAATGAAGAGGTACCTGTTCTGTAGAAATAATACACGCCGCGGGATAATCCAAGTGGAACTGTCTGTCGTCTCTTAAATTTGCAACATAACTGAGTTTATTAACGGAAGAAGAGCATGTAAACCTTGCCCATGCATGATAGATATTCGAATGGAGCATGTAGCCAGAAAATCAAATAAAACATCAGTGTCATTGTATAATCAAATAAAACATCACTTAGTTTCATTGTATAATCAAATAAAATATCACTTAGTTTCATTCTTCATTCCTCGTTGTAATCATAAAATGAAATGAAGTATTGTATTTTTATTGTTCAGTGTGACTGAAGAAGTTGCCAACGAAGGTGAGTGGAATTTAGGTGACGAAAAGCAAGCAAAAGAAGAGGAGGCGGGCGATGCTAACAGGGAGAATGCTACAAACGAACCTGTAGAAAAAGAGTCCGAGGACAAGGTACATGGTTATTTGATGTCTGCAACCTTTGTTAATTATAAATGAAAGCTACTAATTTGGCTATTACTTTGTGCGATTATTGATATTATATTTTATAGGAGACGACTCTTGAGGAGTATGAGAAGGTGCTGGAAGAGAAAAGGAAGGTTCTCCAGGCTCTAAAGACTGAGGAAAGAAAAGTAGATGCCAAAGAGTTCGAGTCTATGCAGCAGCTTTCAAATAAGAAGAGTAATGATGAGGTCTTCATAATATTGGTATGACCTTTTGATTCTCTTTGAGAATCCATCATTAATGACTAAATCATATTTTTTGGAAAACATTTTTAAATTCCTTATAATTGCCTTCTACAGGGATCTGATAAAGGTAAGAGAAAATAGGGTTATGAGAAGGAAGAGAGAGCTAAAAAGTTATGTTTACTTCTTTCTACTGACCTATGTCATGACTTGCCTTCTTTTTCTAGTTTCTCTGAGAGACTGTTGGAATTCATTGTTCCGCAGCACATTTTGCACCTTAATTGTGCAGATATTCTGTATTTATGGGACCTTAATTTCTACTGCTTTCAAACTTCCGGATTTAAGATTTTCTGGTAGTCTTTTTCTTCCATGACTTGCATAGGTGCACCGTTCTCTTTTTACTGTTTTGTGCAAATCTATCTGTAATTTGCATAATGTCCTTCTGGCATGTAGTGATGGTTCATATCTGTATGGTGGTCGTAGTCTGTCAGCATTAATGAATTTCTGAAGCCCGCTGAAGGGGGAGGTACTATAATCCAAGTAGAAGAGGGCGTGGTCGTGGACGTGGTTCAAGAGAGTTCGGTGGAGATGGTGCAATAAGAAATGTGACAACACCATCCATTGAAGACCCTGGGCAGTTCCCAATCTTGGGGGGCAAGTGAGATTTCTTGAAACCCCATTCATGATCTGCATACTTCTGTTTTAGTATAGATGGAACTATTTTGCTACTTGCTTTCTTCCAAAAATGATGACACCATTGTTGTTCCCTTTTAGCTTGAATCAAAGATGCATAGCAGCAGCAACAATTCCTATGATTAATCTCTTTCTTCATCTTTGATTCTCAATCCGTACTTCTCCATCTTATGAATTGCCAAAGGCTTTTAATATCTAATTGTGTCCTTTAGATTATCTCGGGATGATAAGGGACTGCTTGATATTCAACCGGCAACATCTGAGCTTGGAATTGATTGTTATTGGATTTACTTAAAGTTGGTTGTTGCTTCAGTAACATAAAGGGCCATGATCCATACTACAAAGACCCATTTCGTTTATATATTGTAGGGGTTTGATAAACATAAATCTGATCCATCATCCAAATTTAAAGGGCCTACCTTAAGTGATTAATTATTTAATAATAATATATTGGGTAAAATTTACTATTAAATTTTTTAATAGTGATGTTAACGTGTCATCATAAAGTAATTTTTATCATCATTGAAAAATATATATTTAAAAAGTTATCATGCTAATAATTTTATATTTTTAATGGCGAATAATTAAAATATAACTTTAGATATGATTTGAAAAAAAAATTGAATCATAAGATAAAATTACGAGAATAATTGAATGAATAAATACAATAATATGTCATTAATAAGTATTATACTTAATATTAAATTACGAGAATAATTGAATGATTAAAAATAATATATTTTTAAAATATTTAAATTTATCAAAATATACAACATTTTATTTAAATTATAATTCTATATACTATTATAAAATTAGATTAATATCATTAATAAGTATTATACTTAAATTATTATATGTATTCTTATAAAATTTACATGTATAATATTTTAAAATTTTATATATTATGATTGAGTGACCTAATAATTAAAAAAATATTATTTTTTCTAAGTTTCGGATTCAAACACTTATGTATGTAGAATGTTTTGATGAGTTATATTATTAAAAAATATGTATTATATTATAGATTTTGTAATTAATAGCTGCCAAATATGAGAGATGACGTTTGCGTTTGAGCTGTTTATGGTCTCTCTCCGATTCAGCTTTTTCAGGCTCTCCCTAGCGTTACATCTTAATCTCCGTTTTCTCTTTCTTTATTTGTGTCCCTTGTTTCCATCTTCTTTCCGCTGACTTTTTGGGTTAATCTTTGGTAGATCTCCGTGGTCTCTCGCGGGAATTTTTATTCGGATTCCGGTGATCCCATCCTTCGATCCTCCTCTTTCTTCATTCCACTATGAATCCCGAATAGTAAGTTTTCTCTTTATTTGTATGCCATGTTGTTCAGATTAAGCATTTCTATTTACCTATTTTCTTATTTTTATAATTTGATCAAGTTAAAAATACCTAAATTTTGTGTGTATCATAATTGTCTGTGTTAAAGGTAAAACCTGTAATCCACGGGATTTTGTTTGCGAGCTGGTGGAATTCAGATGTTATTTTCTCTTCTGTTGTTGTTCCTATTGTTGTGTAATTTGTAACTGGGTTCTGTTTATGGAATTTAATTTTTTTTTTAAATGTGGGAGCTTTGATGTGTTCTTCAATACTCATGTGTTGCCTTTATGTTATCTATATGCAGTTAAATAGATTGATTTAGGTGGGAAAATAGGCTCTTAATGATATAATTTGTTGGGACATCTCGTTCTTTTACGAAATAATCTGTTTGGAAATGGGGGATTAGGCCTCTTTCGTAGAAACAAGCTTTATTTTATGTATTGTATGGTTGGAGATTAAATTTTATTGCATCATTGAAAATTATTTTAATATAATCTAGTTGCACTCTTTTTCAGTGACTATCTGTTCAAACTTTTGCTTATAGGAGATTCTGGTGTTGCAAAATCTTGTCTTCTTTTGAGATTTGCTGTAAGTTTCTTGACTCAATTTGGCATTCGTAGATGACTAGATGTTCAAATGATTAACCTTGAATGTTAATATTCGTTTATGATGTTTTAAGATTGTACGAGTGATTTGATTAAAAAGGTTTCATTGCATATAGTGCCCATTTATATCGAGGGTAAAATTTATCCCTTCACGTTGTGACATGTTTTCATGATTTGACTGAGTACTTTTCGGCATCAGAATCTTGTATCTTTTTAGTCGTATACCTGTTTATTTTCAGATGCTGCAGAACTAAATCTTGAACCTGATCGATGCGTAATTTCTTTGCAGGATGATTCATACATAGATAGTTACATAAGCACCATTGGGGTTGATTTTGTGAGTTAACCAGTCTCCAGTGTTAACTTCTGGATGCCAAATTTATGGAAATTATTCTAATTTCGGGTCTTTTGGTTTTCTTTTTGGGTAGAAAATACGCACTGTGGAGCAGGATGGGAAGACCATTAAACTTCAAATTGTATGTTTTAGAATACTGTACTGTTTTTTTTGGGGGTTTAATTCCTTTGTGTTTTCAGTTTAACTTCTTTGTTTTTTACTAGTTAGTTTGCTCTTGGTTAAATGTTTAGTGGGACACTGCTGGACAAGAACGATTTAGGACGATCACTAGCAGCTACTACCGTGGGGCTCATGGCATAATAGCGGGTGATCTTTTTGTTTCTATTTTTCTCCTTTCAGTTCCTTTTTTTTTGTTTTCAGCTATTTATTTGTGCTTCTCATAAACATTTTTTTTCCTTTTATCTCCCCCATTCACTGGTGGTTCCCCTATTAGATTGTTTATGATGTGACTGACCAAGAAAGCTTCAACAACGTCAAGCAGTGGTTGAATGAAATTGATCGCTATGCTAATGATAACGTTAACAAACTATTGGTTGGAAACAAATGTGATCTTACAGAAAACAAAGTCGTGTTGTACGAGACTGCCAAGGTATTTTGCTAGTTTCATGTGTTAAGCATAAATTATTTTCTTTTAAGGAGAGTCTTTGCAGCTAATTGTTTATATTAGTAGCCTCATGATTACAAATTCAAATTATTGGTGTTAAGCTGCATTTATTCTCCCATCCCTTTCTATAAAGGCGTTTGCAGATGAAGTTGGCATACCTTTTATGGAAACCAGTGCAAAAGATTCCATGAATGTGGAACAGGCTTTCGTGGCCATGGCTGCTTCCATCAAGGAGAGGTACACCCAACGTTCTTTTTCCTAAATAGTTTAGGCTTTTAGCAATATCAGATATTTAGCCATACGTTTTAGGCCATGGCTGCTCACTGTTATCAAATGACTTAATTCAACAATAGGTACCTAAAGTATACCACCTTTGTAATCTAAGTACCTAAAGTTGCCGTCTTTTTCATCTAGGCACCTAAAATATTTTGGTCAAAATAAGTACTTAAAGGTAACTTTAGGTGTGATTTTGAAAGAAAAAAATAGTTGGGTGACCAAAACGAAATCGTGAGAATAGTTGTGTGATTAAATACATAGTTTATCCATTTTTTTTTAATATAAAGCCTTATCAAACTTAGGACAAAGTCCTGCTACCTATTGATTGACAAATACATCGTTGCGATTTGCTCGGTCCTTAAAATTGCCTGTGATTGCAGAATGGCAAGCCAACCGGCCACAAACAATGCAAGGCCTCCGACCGTACAGATCCAGCCTATTGAACAGAAGAGTGGCTGCTGCTCTTCCTAGAAAGTCAAGTTGTATTTCTTCTGCAGGAAGCAATATGCTGCATGTTAGGTTACATGTTTCTTAACTAATCAGTTGCAGACTTATTTCTTATGGATAAAAAAACGTCATTAGAGGATCTCATTCATTTCTACACTCATGTTAACGTCAAGGGTTGTACAATATACATATAGTTATATTGTTATTCTTGTTTCTTAAGTTACATCGTCTGTTGGCTACACTTCATACGCGTGCTAAAAGTTGGCCTTTGATAGTACCAGTTTTAGAATTCGAAACTTCATTTCATATTAGCTAATCCTAAACATGATGGGTTTTATACCTTAAAATGATAATGAGGTAAGAAAACGGCAAGCTGCTTAAAATGTTATTAAAAGATATATGTCGTACCCATGCGCCGATGCTGTGAGGCTTGTTATTCATTCTAATTGCTCGATGAGTCTCCATTCATCACTAACGCCAATTATATGAGCTATATGAGTCAAGTAGATTTGTTTGAATTTTTGTTCATATTTAATTATAATTATTTAAAATATTAACAATAAGGATTAGTTATAATTTAAACGATTTTATTTAATCATATAAGATATATAATGTTTTTTATATTCTTTAATACAAATAATAAAAAAATTCTAAGTATTATTACATTTAGTGTATTAATTAGACAAATAATTTAATAAAATTTTAATAAGTATTACTGGAAATGATAGCAAAAGTAAAATATTAAACACTTACTTTAATAAAAAAAATACGTTAAATAAAAAAATAATTTAAAAGTTTATTTTTTAATTAAACCTTATATTTATAAAGACTTGAAGTAGGATAATAAAAATATTTTTTTTTGTGTGTTTGTAAAAAATTTGAATCCATATCAATTTATTAACTTGGAAAAACTTGTTTTTAACATTTTCAATCTTGGAAAACATTTCTAAGAAGAATAAAACTATAATAATTTATTTTATTATTTTTGTTTTTATATATTTTTGTTTTTATAAATTTTAACTTCACATTTTTTTTGTTTTTCTATTTCTAAAAAGATAAGAATAAAAACAATCTGTTTTTTAAACCAATCGCAACGGCTTAGCTTCTCTCTTATTCTTTCTAATAATTTTCATTTTATTTTATATTTTATATATATTTTTATTGCCTTTTCGGTTCTCTAAGATTTTGTCCTGATTAATCTAGACCGACATATATTGCATGCCTGATTTTAGTGGGTGAGTATCCCAATAAAGATTTTATGCGTGTACAAAACATCGAACATGAAAAATACTTAAGTGATACCAAACTACTTTTCATTTGAATTAACCTCGTTGATACTTTTAAATTTTATTTTAATTTTTCAAAATATAAATATATTTCATTTTGGCCAACAATAAATAATATTATTTAAAAATATTATTTTCACATATGACTGAGATTATAGTTAAAGTTAAAAAGATGAAAAAAAAAGGGGGTGGGGGTTAATCATGGTAAATGCTCACATCAGCACTTTGAGACAAAAATAGCCCGAATCTAGGTTTAGGGATATGGGATATTCTATTGCATGCGCCGCTGAACTAGGGTTGCGGCCGCGTAGCACGACTCTATATAAACACCTTAAACTCTCTTCTTTCTCGCATAAGGATTGAGCACAGAGGCGGCCATCATCGAGACGGAAAAGAAAGAGAAGAGATGGAGCAAACATTCATCATGATCAAGCCTGATGGCGTCCAAAGGGGTTTGGTAATACTTCTATTTCCACTCTTTCAGTTTTAATTTCTTTCATCTGTACCTTTATCCGATCGTTTGAATCCCTTTAACTGCTACAAATTAAGAAAAAAATGACAATACCTTGGTGGTCTGATTGTTAAATTTTCTAAGTAGAACAACTCATTTTCGATTTTCAGCTGCATGGAACTTAGTGAACTTGTTAAGTTCGTAGATCTAAGGTCCAACTAGCCTAATCTTCTGTACTGGGTAGCATACGAATGCTGTTTTAGTTTTATTTCAATTTTTTTTTTGCATTTTAAGGCAATGAAATCAAGAACACTGAGAAATTAATTCTGGAACATCTGAAAGCTTCTCACCTGTTTTTTTTATTGTAGCATGTTATTTGTTCGACTGTGGTTTGAAAAGTGAGAAAACTGTGTTTCTTATCAAGATTATTATGTGTTTCAGGTTGGTGAAATCATTGGCAGATTTGAGATGAAAGGCTTCTATTTGAAAGGTAGCATCAATTTTCTGATAATTTCCTCTGTTTTTCCTTGGTGTCAAATCCCGAGTATTATTGGAATTGATTCTAAAGTACCTTATAGGCTATTGAATGTTGACAATACTTCTGTAACATACAAAATGGATGCCCTTCCCTCACTGTATTGAAATCATTAGCACTATATGCTTTTGGGTGGAATGTTTACTTATTTCACTTTGATCTGTCTACTTTAGGCTTGAAACTCATCACTGTGGATCAATCGTTCGCTGAGAAGCACTATGCAGACCTTTCTGCAAAGCCCTTCTTTAATGGACTTTAGAGTATATTATCTCTGGTCCCGTTGTTGCTATGATTTGGGAGGGTAAGAATGTTGTTACCACTGGTCGCAAGATTATTGGAGCCACAAACCCTGCTCAGTCTGCTCCTGGAACAATCCGTGGTGACTTTGCAATTGACATTGGCAGGTATAGATAGTTCTTTTATCCTTCAATTTATCGGTATGCTTGTTCTGTTTTGTTATTTTCCCTTCATCTGTCTATAATTTATACCTATATGTTGATTTTGGTTGTCTTTTTTCCAGGAATGTGATTCATGGAAGTGACTCAGTTGAGAGTGCAAGGAAGGAAATTGCATTGTGGTTCCCAGAAAGCCCTGTTAACTGGCAGAGCAGCATCCACCCTTGGATTTATGAGTAGACTTTTAGACTAAACTGTTGCTGATCATGGTATCATCATGTTTGCCTCTTGTTAGCAAACTTTTTTATAAACTTTTTACTAAGTTAATTACCTTTGGTTACCATTTAAGACGGTATTGTTGTGCTCTAGCGGTCTGTGTTTTAAAAGGCGCGAGGCGCTCCAAGGCGATTAGCTACCCGAAAGCCTCAATTTTTGAGGCGCTTTGAGGCGAGGGATTCACATACGCGATGCGCTTAATTTTACAAAACATTTATAAATATTTTATAACCATACTTCAAACACAAAACAACTTAATAATTAACTTAATAAGCAAAAATACCAAGAAGCATGTGTCATATTGTATCTCAAAAAGACAAATAAAAAATATCATCAATAATCAAAATGCCTAAAACTCATCTTCATCGTCATCAACATCAATCCCAAGCACCTCCTCCTCCCCATCATCTTCGGAAAGTTCAATATCTTGTTCTATCTCTTCATCGTCTTCATCAATCAAATTTAGTCCAGTAAGGCCTTCTACGAGTGGAGGTTTGGGAAACACTCTTTCCTCTATCTCTTGATGAACTTGATGTAGATGTTCTTCTAGTGGAATAAGTAGCTTGAGATGCACCGAAAGCTTTATCAATAGCATACCATGTTAAATCATCTCCATCAAAGACAAAGTCGTCCTCCTCACCATCTTCATCGTCCATATGACCCATCAACCACTCGTTGCTTTCATCTATTTCCTTCAAAAGAATAGGATATGTGGTGCCCTTTCTTTGATATCTCCGTCGAAAAGCACAATTAAACTTGTCATACACCATGCCATTTAAACGACTTTGTGCCAATCTATTTCTCATTTTTGAATGAAGTTGTTGAAAAACGCTCCAGTTCCTCTCGCAACCCGTAGCACTACAAGTAAGGCTAAGAACTCGGATTGCAAATTTCTGTAACTCCGGTGCTGAGGCTCCATATACAAACCACCAATCCGCTATTAACATATAAAATAAATCAAGATTTAATTTTGTGAGGTATGATATATATAATATATTGTTGTGTAAAATAAATCAAGATTTAATTTTACACAACATCAATGATTGTTTAATCCGTAATATAAATAAATTAATCTCAATTTCCAAAATAAAAATAAGACTCATGAATATTATTTTAGTGTAAATTATATTATATAGTTTTTATACTATAAGAAATAACCTCGTAAGCCATCATTTAATTTTTTAACAAGATAAAAACTGTTAATTTATTAAAAATAAAAAAAATTAAACTATAATAAAAAAATTTAATCACAACCGTTTAAAATATAAAAAAAAATTATAATTACAATCGCAAATTAAAACACATGACAATCAATATTTTTTTATAATTATAACCCTTAAATCACACAGATTATATAAGAAAAATATTAAAAAATTAATTAAATAGACTCGAATAAAATATACGAACAGGTTTGGTGTGAATCACCATCTTTGAAACAGAGTTACCCAGATAAATCATTTCCACTTTTTTTTTACTTTTGCTTTTGGTATTCTCGCTCTCTCCCATCACAATCCCGGTAGGAGGCACTAGGGGTTCGGCCTCTGGCCTCTTGAAAGTGAAACCAACAGTTCCTTGTGCGTGGGTTCCCCTTCTTTGCTTTTAAAGTATCAGCAACACTACGAATCTAAAAAATGGAGTCTCCCCAATCTCAACAACAACAACAACCAAAGAAGAGAGGTCGAAAACCCAAGCCAAAGGACGAGAAAGAACAGCAACAGCAAAGCGCTGCTAAAATGAAAGAAGGAAAGAAATGGGTCATTGTACGTGAATCGCCAAAAGCATCGCCTCGTCGCCTCTCGCCGCCTCTGACAACTGAATCGCCGCCTCATGTACTCGCCGCCGCCTTGGTGGTCGGAGGCTTTCTTCTAAACGCCTCGCCTCGCCTAGCGCCTCAGGCGCGCTTTTTAAAACACAACTAGCAGTAACATGTTTGAGTTGAATTTGGTTTGTATGAAACCATGAATAGAACTTCTGTTGGTGACATGTTTGAACGTTATGGTTAGTAGCTTCTATATGTTTGTGGCAGTTCACCTCAAGATTTATGCAAAACTTATTTGCACTTTGATGAACTTTTATACCATTTAGTGTACCTTTTTAACGATCTTCTTACCACTTTGATCTATACATCTTATCAAGCTGAATCGAGCCGAGTTTGAATACTGGCTTTCATTCTTAGCACTTTAATCTATAGATCTTATTGAGCTGAGTTCAAATAATTGTAAATATGAGCTTCTAAATTTGGAGTTTGATTCTCGATTTGGGTTTGATTCAACATCAATTTTTAAGTTTCAGGTTCAACTAAAGATGTCATCGAGTTATTTAAGCTTGAGTTAGTTTAAATATGTTTATCTATATTTATAAAAGCTCAAGCCCGAGTTCAATTAACTAGTAAGGGTAAAAGTGTAATTTAATAATATATTCGATTTGGTAAAGCTCAGTTAGGCCTAAGAACCGGTGTTTAGATTTAGCTCAATCAACAGCTCGAGCGAAATTGTGGTTTCATTGGGTCTCTGGTTTATATTTGGTTCTTATTTCTTTTAGTGCAAGGTGTCAGCTCCGTTGAGATGCTATGGATTCTAGTTTCTAGTGTAGATTAGTGTTATGGTATGTACATGCCTTATTATTTCTAGTTTCTAGTGCACTTTGGTAATCTTGTAAATACCTAGTTTTTTTTTAATAGATTCTAATCTGCTTAGCCAATATATATATATATATATTATTTTCACTCATAAGCGGCACCCTTTAAACATGTGAGGCTGGTCTTTAATTCATTTTTAGCATATAAGTATAAAGTAAGAAATTAGATTATTCTTTTGTGGTACGAAATTATGTTGGTTGCCATATGTAAGGATGTGGTGGCTCGCATGGACAACACATAGGTTGAGGTGCAACTGCAACATGGACAAGCATTTGTGTCGTTATTAATCTCAATACATTTTGAGAATTAACCACACATGCTTTCCCCTTGCATCACTCCAACAAAAACATGCTTCAACCTTCTCACTGCCTTAACTTCCTCTTCTTCCGAGTTATCCCTTTTCTTTGTTTCGGTTTCAATCAGCAAAAGTTGCTCGAACTAAAATTAAAAGAATGAGGTTCATAAATCGATATTGTCCTCTTTGGACACGGATGCTTATGATTTTCAGTGAAAGTCAAGTGGATGTTAGGGTCAAATTAGTTTAATACCCGAAGCTGATGGCAAAACACAAAACTTAGTGAAAGTTGAGAGAGGCTCCATCCAGATTGCTGTAATATCTTTTACCAATGTAGAGCTGCAGAATTGGAGATCAAACATGTATTTAATGCAGGTTAAAACTATGTTTCCTTCATTATTATCACCTATTACATTACTTTAATATGTTAAATATTAATTAGTTTGACTTGTAATAAGCATGATGTTAAAATTTTGTAACTCGAATTCCTCAGATCAAATTCAAGAGTTTGTAGTGTAACTTGTTTAGTGATAAATAAATTGAGATAAAAAAATGTCAGAAGCACATGCATCCAAAGACAAGCAGACAAGACCGGAGCCATGGGTGTTCTTCATGTTCGAAGTTGTTGTTTGTAGCCATGTTTTTCTTGGAAAATCTTAAGCAAGATATGAAATATATTTGATGCCAAACATATCTTGAATTGCAGCCCTAACAACTTGAAATCTAAATCAACAAGAAACAAGGGCACACATCCATGTTGCCTAAAAAAACATAACAAAAACATTTTTTTTTCTGTGTAGATTTACAACACATGCAATATCTTCAAACCCAAAAATAAAAAATAAAAAAATAGGACCCGACAAATAACAATAAAAAAAAATTCCCACATGTAATCACATGATGGGTATGGCATACCCATCGGCACAACACAGTAGCCACAAGTTTAAACGCTGGAAAATGACTTTAATCCACTAATGAACCAAACTTTTAATTTGTTCCCTCTTCAACAAGTTAAGTTTTTAAATTTAATAATCATACTCAAAACCCCACACTTGTTTATGTCCCAGAAAGGAACCTTATAAACCCCACCAAATGGGGGATTTCAAATTCCATACATTCAACACTTTTGGTACCAAAATCTTTTCGGCAATGGCGGAGTTAGAGAACCCAAACACGATGCCGAATCTGCTAACGTTTCTGTCCTCTCTGCTGGAAGAAGTGGCTGAATCCAATGATGCGAGCTCTGGGTTTAAGGCTCAGCAGATTTCGGTGTTTCAGGGGCTAACTCGGCCGAGTATCTCGATTCAGAGCTACCTGGACAGGATTTACAAGTACGCAAATTGTAGCCCGTCTTGCTTCATTGTTGCGTATGTTTATCTTGATCGGTTTGCTCAAAGGCAACCCTCGTTGCCCATCAATTCTTTCAACGTTCATCGGCTGCTTATTACGAGTGTCATGGTTGCTGCTAAGTTCATGGATGATTTGTAAGTTCCCTCAACTACTCGTTAGTTGTCTGGTTTAAATTAGAATATGGGTTTGTGAAGCCATTGAATTTCCCAGAAAACTATGTTTGATGGTGATTCAGAGTTTCATCCTAGCTGTCTTCTGCTAGTCTGACAACTAATCATCCATGATATAGTTTTATCTGTCCATGTGCTTCAATTATTTTCAAATAGTAAATTAAAAGGAAATGCGCCTGGAAAGGTTGGCCAAATTTTTGGTAAAACTACTGTATAGATCCTCGTTCTATACTGTATATATTTTGGTCTCTGTAATTATTTATTTATTTGATAATTAAGGGAGGAAATGATTCGAATCTTGAATAATAATATCACTATCATTTAATCATCGAGACGATAATTTTATCGCTTAATCTTTATAGTTCTAAAATGAAAAAACAAAATTCATGTACTTTAAATACAAATAAAATATCACTTTTATAACAATAAAAATATCACGTCGTATTTTACATTGTCTAATTAAATTCACCTTTTAACTTCACGATTTTTTTAACTGTTGAAAAAATAATAATAGTTTTCTATTTCTTATCTCGTTTTAAAATAGGGTAAACCACATGTTTAGTATCTAAACTATTATTTTTATTCTATTTAATACCCAAACTTTATTTTCTTTTAAAACCATTCTTTACATTTAGTTTAGATTTCAATTTGGCACCCGTTGTTAAAAAAATTAACAGAATTGCTAACATATCATTTTTTTAATTATTAGATGGCATTTTCTTATAGTGGCATGTCAACATACTCGTTAGGTTTTTATCGACGGTGTACCAAATTGAAACTTAAATTAAACTTTATGTATGATTTTGGGGGGAAAATAAAGTTTGGGTACCAAAACAGAACAAAAGTGCTAGTTTAGATACTAAATGTGTAGTTTAGCCTTAAAAATATTAAGAACGCCCTATAAAAATCTGAGCTATTATTTTGGAACTTGATTTCAGGTATTACAACAATGCTTACTACGCAAAAGTAGGAGGAATCAGCACGATAGAAATGAACTTCTTGGAAGTGGGTTTTCTGTTCGGGTTGGGTTTCAACTTAAATGTAACCCCAAATACCTTCCACGCCTACTTCTCTTACCTACAAAGGAAGATGATGTTGCAGCAACCTCCACCACCAAGTATTCTTGCAGAAGCATCCCATTCCTGTTTCGGTGAAGAAGAAAACTCTCATCAAAACAAACAATTAGCTCTCAATTGTAGTTAAGATGTGGGGATAGTCACTTGTTCAAGCATCACTCAAAACCCTAATCTTCTCTCTGGGTTTTTTCTCTGGTTTTGGATCTCTGTGTATGCATGGATGAGTTTGTTCTTTACAGTCTGGAATTAATTTCTCAAAGTTTCTTTGGGTTTCATGATATTATTATCTATGTAAGCTAAGATTGGAAAACTTTTGATGCACATGTGGTTAGATTTGAACGGCATTTGGTTGGAGTCGGACCAAATTAAGAAGGAAAATTGTATGTGTATAAGTATAGGGATGGGAATGGGAATGGGAATGGTCGAGTTTTCGGCTATCAAAAATTCAACCTGAAAAAATATACATCTTTTACCTGAATTTGATCCGAAAAATATATATCATCCACCTAAAACTCGGCCCGAGTTTAAGATGACTTCATTGGACCCAAAACCCTACCCATCTTTTGAGATAAAATTCAATCTGACTCGAAACAAAAATATTTATAAAAAATTACTCTCTATGTCCCATAATTTGTGTCTCATATTGATTATGTACATAGTCTTAGGATATATATTTGACCAAGAAAAATAATAAAATTATCCTTAAAAAGTGATTGATGAATTTAATATATTTATTTTGATAGGTGTAAAAAAGTATATAAGCATAAAAAACCAGCAAGACCTAATCACATTATGACTCGACAATTATTAGTTAGACTTGTAATAGTTTAATACTTGATTGTTGTAAAGGGTTTTCACTATATAGAGAGGTCTTTTCCTCCTCATCATGTACTCAGTTGTTGTTATCGTTTTTTCCAATCAATAAGATCACATTTAATTCAATATCTTCATCCATATATCATCAACATCCGCACCACACCCTTCTACTCAAAATTTAATCCGTTTGAAGGCTGACTTGGGCATACAACTTGAGTTTCAAGTTTCTAGAGTCGCACAGGTAATTGAGTCCGAGATTGGACCCATGACATAAGTAAGTGGAGCAGGCAAGTCAAATCCTCTGCCGAAAATTTTTAATACTGAAAAAAAAACTTAGGTGATCGGCATGTATATAATTTTCTTTTCAAAGTGGAAATGATCATCTCTTCTTATGATGGATTCAAAAATATTTTTGAGGATTGACACATATATATTATTAATAATAGAAACTTTTTTGTCTAGGACAAGTACTAATAAAATTTTAAGATAAACATCATTAATAGAATGAACAATTAACATTAAAAAAAATTGAATTTTAGAATAGACATGTACCTACCTCGAAATACACATATACATTGGCCACTGATATTTAAAGAAAGAAAGTAGAAATATAGGGAATTTTTTTTATTGTTTGGATTGATATGATCACGACTAAAATTAAATCATCATCATCAAGAAACTGATTATCAGAGTATTAACTGGAACTTGAAGACAATGATAAAGGTACCCTAAAGAATCAGCTCTCGGAAAACAAAGACATATCAAACAATTCAAGCGGAAGAGAGGGTGAGAATGGAAAGCGAAATAGCACACAACTGGAAAGTAACGTTATTGGTGTTGGTCAATGGGGAAACCAGGCCTTGTATTTCCTTGAACCCATCTTCACAAGTCACGGGGGCATCCGAGACTGCACTCACGTGGATATTAGAATCTTGGTATCGCTTGGCATTGTAATCTTGGAAGGCCTCTTTGGTATCAAGGATCGCATCGGAATAAAGTTGGTGGCAATCATTAACGCGTACTCTTACGGACTCTCCATCTTTTTGTTGTTCAAAAGTTGCTTAATGTAAGACCTCGAATTCGTTAAGTTGCGACGGAGCAGCATGAACGATATATTGCCCAGTTGGTGAAGATCTTTGGCTCTCTGGCTGTTGGGAGATGCTTCTAGAGAGTTTACGCAGAAATTGTAGCTGAGAGTTGGATTGCCCTGTGTGCATTTCTTGCATGTTCTGCTTATGAAACTGTTGGTGGTGGTTAAGCCATGGCAAGTTAGAGTGGAAATAAAGAGGAAGGAGAGAAAGTGAGGGATGCCAAAGGAAGAAGACGACATTTCTTTGTGTTTGCTTAGGAAATCTTTGTTGATGTTGGTCTTTGGACATCATATATAAGGCTTATTTATATGTGTAGGAAAGGGCGTACTCCTATCCATTTATCAATGATTTCATTAATAAATCCAAAAGATAATTTCAATCTCCTATTTAAAGATAATTAGAATATAATCCTTTCTGTTATTAATATATTCGTCCTATTATATCAATTTCTAAAATATATCACTATAAATCCAATAAAAATACAAAATAACAAGAAAACTATGGTATAATTATTAATAATATGGTCCAAAAATTAAGTACATTGATGATTTACTTAAAACTGGTTATCTAATATTATTATTTTTTGAATAATTATAAAATAATATTTATTTAAAATTCTCTTTAACTTATTGATAATACACACTTAACCTACAATTACTTAAATTCAAAATCTCTTTAAAGAACTATATTCTCTTTCAGTACTTAAATTATTTTACGAGTTGATTACCTAATATTAAAGAATGAGATTTCTCCAATATTATTCATTTAACCGCCCCAATTGATTCATGTTCCTTTGCCATAATTGAAGGTAAAATCACATCTTTCCTTACAAGTAAATAAACTAAAATGGTATGCAATTGAATTTTACTTTCCTTCACAATTTCTCTTTTAGGTGGCGTTTGGTTCGCTGGAATATTTTTGAGAGAATTGGAATCTATGAAGGAATTAGAATCTGAATCTGAAACCTGTGTGGTTGGCAGGAAATTGAATTGGAATCCAATTCCATATTCTGTTTGGTTTGCAGACATGTCAGATGAATTTGATTTCAGTAATATAAAATTACAGAATTGCCCTTCTTTTTTTGCTTTATTTTAGTTTGTTTTATAACTTACATGTAGCAATATTATAAAAATTTAAAAAATATTAAATTTTCATTTTATTGATTGATTATTCATTTCAATAAATTATAAAAAGCATGCTAATAAACATCATAAGTTAAAATCATCGCAATTAGGGATGGCCATGGGTCGGGTTTTTGGTCGACCCGACCCGAGAACAAGGGAACCTCCACCCGAGACCCGACCTGACCAAAATAAAGTTTCACCCGACCTAATCCAAATATATGAATTAGAAACTCGACCCGGCACGAAATAATAAAAAAAATATTTTTTATTCAATAAAAATATTAACTTTAAAAACCTTAAACCTAACATGAACCCTAAACCCTAAACCCAACCCGAATATCACACTTAAAAAACTCGACCCGAATATCAAACTTAAAAAACTCGACCCGGCCCGACCCGAACCCGATTTTTTTTTTAAAAAAAATTCGACCGAACCCGACCCGAATATCACACTTAAAAAAAACCCAACCCGATCCGACCCGAATATCAAACTTAAAAAAACCTGACCTGACCCGAACTCGAATTAAAAAAAAAATCGACCCGATCCCAAAATTTAAAAAAAAATCCGACACGAATACCAAAAGATTGATGAAGGTAGTATGGTCAAATTTCATATTCTCTCTTCCAAATGATTTCAATTCCATCATGTTATGGATGAAATTTACTTTCTCTCATTTGATGGAATTGGATTCCAATTATCCCTTTGAAAGTTGAACCAAACATGAGAAAGTGGTGAAATTGAATTCCAATTCCCCCTAATTCCAAAGGATTCTAGCGAACCAAAAGTCACCTTAGTATTTTTTTTATAGAGATTTGGAATTGAATTAAATCCAATGCATTTATTCTTAAATTAGATATTTGTTTTTCTTAATTAATTAATTTATTTTATCATTATGATTTGAATTCGATATAATATTTTAACAATCAATAATATTATAATTAATTAAATTATAATGTGATACATAATATTACTAATATTTCAATCGGTAAATTTCATGTTATTAAATATTAAATATCAATTAAAAATAATGCCACTATAATATATTAATTTATGATTTTTTCTTAACATGAAACAAATTCAAGAACCAATTGAAAATTCAAATGGTCTCGGTGGTTAAAGAGAATATTATTTTCTCTAGAGGTTTTATATTCAATCAGTTACATTTGTGAATGTATACGTGTTATCAATGACTAAGAAAAATTCTAATTATATAATATCTTTTAATCACCAGCAATCCGGGCTCGCCTATTCAAATCAAATTTCGTGAAAAAAAAAACTTTCACCCCAATTAAAAACCTAACTTTATTTATAGCTAAATTCATTCTTAAAAAAAACTAATTTTTTTTATTTATAAATTTTATATATTAGCCAAAAAAAAGTAGCGATTTGCTACCGCTTAAACAAAACATCCAATAACAAGAAACTTAATAAGGGATATCCCACATTTTATAAAGATGAACATTTGTGAAGTTCGTTGTCTATGTTCCTCCCTTGAAGCTTAATCATCACCATCTCTTTAACGGTAGATAAAATGACTGAGGCTTTCTTTGAACAACCTGCGTTTCTTTTCCTCCCATATGGTATATACATAAACACTCCGTGTTAACTCAAGGATAATGGTAAGCAAAGATTTATCCTTGAGGTTAATAATTGTTTACTCAGCCTCTTCCTTCCAACACATGACTTGTCTAGATAGATCACACAACTTCAAAATGAGGTCCCAATTACTCCTCCTCAACGGATTGATAGAAAACAAATGATCCCTAATCTTCATAACTCCATTGCAAATAATGCACCTGCCAGCAATATTCAAACCCATTTGCAGCAACCTGTCACCAACGGAGAGTTTCCTCAACAAAACCATCCATACAGTAATACTACGTTTTGGGATATGCAGAGGAAACCACACCAATTTATACCAAGCCAGCTTAGCACTTTTCATCCTTATCTCATCCCAAATCCATCTCGCTTTCAATGCACCAATATCAATAGTTGTAGTGAGTATAGGCTTGGCCTCCATCCTCATTTGAAGGATTTTCCTAAAACTCCAGCTACCATTCGTTGTAGTTTCAGCTTGCCAGAACTCCTCTCCCTTAAGAACATATGCATGTCTCTAGACCATCCAAAAGGAGCCCTCCTCAGCGAGAATATTTTTTATCAACTAAAAAATACAAACCTTATTTCAAATCTTGGTATCTTTAATCCCAAGATCATCCTTAGATTTCAGTCGAGAAATGTATCTCCTACTGCAGAATCAAACCTCTTCCGGAAGAATCTAAAGCACAATTGATTATAGACCATACAGATCGTGAGCTACTCAAGATCAACTCGGTCAAAATTCGATAAATACTTGACTCGAATAGACTCGACTTGAGTTCTTAAAGAGTCAAAATAAGTTACTTGATACTCGACTGGAAAAACTCACGAGCAACTCGAAAAAAATAATATATTAAAATTTTATTTTTTAAAAATTAAATTATTAATAATATTGACATTTATGTATTGATTTTTTTTAAAAAAAAATACAGTGTAAGGTTTTCATGTGCTTAAAGTTCGAGTTTGAGCTTCAACCGAATTAAGTTTTAATTTTTTTTTCAAGCTTTTACCAACTTCAATTAATAGTTTTGAATTCGCGTCGAGCTTGAAAATTTTAGTCTCACAAATTTTCAAGCCGAGTCGAGTTCCAGTTTAAATTTTCAAATCGATTCGAACTCAACTCGTTTCGTGCCCTAACTGATCCACCCTTTTAATGACAGCCTGCGGAAGAACTAACTACCTGCAGCAGTAATTTGTCATATTAAATAACTTCAATAAGCTTAAGCCTACTTAGCATAACTAAGATGTCCGTCAGACCATTAGATTAGTCTAGACTTGATCTTCTCAATAAGATCAATACAATCCTTCTTAGTAGTCGTAATAAAAAAGACTCTCAAATATCTTAGAGAGAAACAATCAAGTTGAAATCCAGTAATGCTCTGCATAGCTTTCCTTTGATTATTAGTAACTTCAGAGATAAAGAGTTCACACTTAACTGCATTAAGTTTGAGGCCAAAAATAATATAGAAAGAGTCCAAAATACATTTAATTCTAACAATAGAACCTCTACAGAAAATAAACAGGTGAGGTGAGGCATCTCGGGTTCTCAAAACACTATTATTGAGATACAACCCCAAAATTTAATCGGAATGGTATTTAAGAGGAAAGGGCCAAAGTACCTCTCTCTCTCGCTTTGTCCTCCACCAATAAATAAGAGAAAAAGAGAGGGAAAATAATGAATGGCCACTAAAGGCTAAACTTAAAATCTAATCCAACTCTAGTCTAAACCCTCTGGAAAACCAGCAGCCTGAAAAACAAATGAAAACAAAAGATGGGAGTTGAAAGCCAATCACCGCCCCAAGTCAAGGATCAGAGCCGCACACGGATCCCCACCCTGTTCGGTGGGGGATTTTACCCACAATTACGTGATGAGATCGAAATAGGGTGCCTTTTAATTCTGACCAAAAAAAACAAGAGACGTGGACCTCTTTGTCACATAATAGGGATGCGGCACAGCTTATCCCCTCCCACTCCCGCGGCGCACGTTAGTCCCCTCCCCCACACTCTCCAACACCTAATCAGCCGCCCACCACCTACCTGCCCTTTTAGCCTTCCCCCTTCCTTCCGCAGCCCAATCTATATCAACAAACCCCACTTTCTCCTCCCCTTCTCCTCCACCCCCGCCTTTATCTCCCACTTTTCCTCCCTTCTTTCTTCTCTTCCCTTCCACCCCCAATTCCCTTTTTCTGAAACGCACCGCCATCCTTATCATTCACCCACTTCCCCCAAAGTGCACGCCGATCTTATCTTAACCTAATAGCCGACTAGGAATTTTTTAGATCCATGTCGATTCCGTCTTCTCCCTCGCCCGACCAGGGTCTACAATCGAACGCATCGCATTCACCGCCACCGGAAGCGCTGTTGTCTCTCCCGGCGCCTCCACCATCCAGATCTACTCCGGCGGATACAGCCACCGTCACACCCAACCCAAGGCGGCTACCACCACCTTGTTGGTCACACGATGAAACCGTTGCCTTGATCGATGCCTACCGCGACAAATGGTACACGCTTCGCCGTGGGAACCTCAAGGCTAGCCACTGGCAAGAAGTGGCGGACGCGGTTACCCGACGCTGCCCCGTCGCGACGCCTCCCAAAACGGCCGTGCAGTGCCGACACAAGATGGAGAAGCTGAGGAAACGGTACCGGACCGAGATCCAACGGGCTAGATCTATGCCCGTTTCGAGATTTGTTTCTTCTTGGGTCCATTTTAAGCGCATGGACGCTATGGAGAAGGGGCCTAATGCGAAATCTAATTACAACTCGGATAGTCCAGATGATGAAAACGGTGAAGACGAAGAAGATGGCCAGGAACAAGAATTTTACGACGATGTGTATAAGAACGGAACCCTAAATACGAGAAGTGTACAAAAGTTGTACAGAAACGGGGTTGGAAACAACGGTGGGAGTGTCAGCGGCAGTGGAGGCGGAGAGGGTAATAGCGGTGGGTTTAGGATTAAGATCCCAACTGGAGTTAGTATAGCACAACCAGGGCCAAGATATTATGGGAAAATAGATCAGAAATATGCTGCAAACCCTGATCCCAACCCTAACCTTAACACGAATTCTCATCCTAGTAAGGTTAATTTTGGTGGGTCGGGTTCCAGATCAGCTTACGGGACTAGGATTTTAAGAGGGTTTGGTGATATACCGGAAAAAATGGCAATCTCAGGGAAGAGGGAGAGGGAGAAAGATGCAGTTACTGAGATGGTGTCAGCTATAGAGGTTTTGGGAGACGGGTTTGTGAGGATGGAGCAAATGAAGATGGATATGGCTAGGGAGATAGAGACGATGAGGATGGAGATGGAGATGAAGAGAACCGAAGTGATATTGGAGTCGCAGCAGAGGATTGTGGAAGCTTTCGCCAAGGCGGTTTCAGAGAGGAAGAAGAAGCCTAAAAGAATGCCCTCACCCCAGTCTTGATGGATAATGTGTTTTCAATCCTTTGACTACGTATTTGCAAGTTCAAGTTGGTGGAATGTTTAAGGTTTACTTCAATTTCCTGTTTCTTTGTTGATTATTGAGTGATAGGATTACTGTCCAACCTGATCTGCTGTAGCTTTTACATCTTTTTTTGTGGAACTAATGTAGCTTTATTGTTCTGAACTTTGCACCTAATTGTAGTTTTTGTAATTGTAATCTTCATTTAGTCATAAGAACATTGGTCATTTGATGTTAGTCAGTGAATTTTGTTCTTTGATTGCTGTGCTCTGCCATCAAGAATAAATCTTGAAGATGACATGGGAACTTTTATCTTTAACAAAGCACTTGGTCTAGGTGTAGGAATCAGCTGGAGAAAATGTGATCAAATTTCATTTTGCGATCAAGAAAGTTGTTCCCAGTTGTTAAGTAAGCGAAACTGGTGTTTCGGTTTGTATGCACCATTGATTAAACAGTCAATAGGTTACATGGTAAGAGTTATTTGAAGAGCATGATGCCAGGATGATTTGCAATTTTCCTAGTGTTAATTAAAACCATTGTGGAACACAGTTTTGGTATTGCTTTATGGATGGCATCAGTATTGATGGAAGACCAATGGCAGATTGATGATTCTCTTTCCCATTTGCTAAAAGCTTAGTTATGCAAATAGAGATTCAATGAATATCATACAATATGCAGCATTTCCCCCCTTTCTGCGTTGCGTTACATTAGCCATTTGTAAAATATTACTATGTTAACACCAGGAATTTTCTATGCTGTATCAAAAATGTTAGCCAACATTTTCAAGAGGCCATTCTTTTCATAATGGGAGGTTCTGCATCATAATTTTGCAGCACTGTGACCTTCAGTCTGGGTCTTTTCAGGAAAGTTGAATGAAAATTGGAATGAGAAGCAAATTATAATTCACATCAATCAGAAGCCGATTTACAAAACCCAAACACCCTTGACTTCTTGAAGGTAGTACCCCCCCACACAAAATGTGGTTTTCACTCTGATCAACCTATTGCACTCGGTAAAATCAACACGAAAAGAATGTAATTAACAAGATGGAGAATGCACATAAGAGGAGAGAATCACATGGTCAACTTCACACTGGCTTTGCACTTGGAATTTGCTTAGAGAATACGGCATATACTTGCTCTCTTCTTCTGCTTCCTTTGCTTTGCAGGCTGAAGAACCACCTTGATAGCAGCGTCGAATACAGCTTTCACATTCTGCAATTTCCAACACACACCACCTAAATCTTAAATGAATGCAAACCCAAAGCAAGAAGATATCAAATCAATTGACATGGAAGTGTTTATAATGGATTGATTTTGACACCATTTGATCTCCTGTTAGTTTAAACAATGTAAGACTGTGAAAGTGTATGTGATGGGCGCTTTGGAACAATAATCTCATCATAGATGCTATACGAACCTGCTGTGTCTTTGAGCTGCACTCTATGTATGCTACTGCTCCTATTTGCTTCTTTAGTTCAAGACCCTGACATCAAAAGTTAAGATATTGAATATTAGGATGCAATATAAGTTAAGCTATCTGCTACCTGACATGGATTGCAACTCTACATCTCTAGATCTTGCTCATTAAATGATGATAAAAATAAGTTTGTGAAAGGACGGATTGAACTTTCATTAAAATGTTGCAACCCATCGACTGACAATGTCCTTGATTTACGGACAATACATGTTATCCACAAAGGTTTTCTCATTGTCTCTTTCTTTATAAAGCCTTCATTATTGCAGCACCCTACCTTATCCAGTGACTACCTGTGCGGATTCTGTTGTATGTGGTGAAACAACTAACGGTGCCACAGACAATAAGAGAATGAAGAGGTACCTGTTCTGTAGAAATAGTACACGCCGCGGGATAATCCAAGTGGAACTGTCTGTCATCTCTTAAATCTGCAACATAACTGAATTTATTAACGGAAGAAGAGCATGTAAACCTTGTCCATGCATGATAGATATTCGAATGGAGCATGTAGCCAGAAAATCAGGCACAATTGAAACCCGGCCATGAATCTTTGAGAAACAAAAACGTTCATATGCTACCACTTATGTAACTATGTGCATTGATTTCTTTCTTGCTCTTTGTTTATGCTGTTCATGTCAGATATAGATGACTTTACGGAGGAAATAAATGGTTGAACAGAAAAAGAAGCCATTTTTATGAATGTAAGAGGTGGAAAAAAGAACAAGAGAAAGAACTTCATATTCTTCAGCTCTAGTATTTTTTTTTACAGACATGGCTTAATTATTTGGAGCATCTTGAATCTTGATTGATAAGCAAACGCATAGACATGGAAGCGTCCATTTTCATAAACAATACAGCAAGGAGGAGAGAATCTAATCACCTAGTTTGGTTCCTACAAGAACAATGGGCGCTGCCGGGGCATAATGTCTCAGCTCTGGAACCCACTTCACGAACATAACCATGGATCATAAAGACACGTAAAGGAATCAGAAAACTAGTAGCAAACACATTTCATAAGCTAAACATTAGGCAAAGAGAACTCGATCAGGATTTATACTTAAAAAAGACAAGTAACGAGAAAAAGAAACATACTTTTTTTGAGACGTTCTCATAGCTAGGCCTACTTATGAGGGAGAAAGCCAGAAGAAACACGTCGGCTCCTCTGTAACTTAGAGGTCTTAATCTGTTATAGTCTTCCTGACCTGAACATATTATATACAAAATCAACATTATGAAATCCGTTCTGTCCTACATATAATCAAATCGCTAAATGAATTTAACTAGAAAGCCCACTATTCATTTCATAATACATGCTTCCAATAATGATTGATATCAAAAGGCCATTGAAAGATCTTGAACAAGATAAGCATGGATGTCCAATGAAAACGATTTCATCCATTGGTGTGTTATAAATTTCAATGTGTATGAAACAATATACAAAAAGAGGAGTTTCTTTTGAAATAAAGCGAAATTGACCTTATAACTTTTGGCAAAACAATGAACTGATAAAATGCAGCAAATCCCATGGCAATTCAAAACTTGGAACAGCTAGACTAACATTATTGAAGCTCACCACACTGAAGAATTAGAATTGCAGAATTTATTATGAGAGAAGCAAAGAAGCATATACCAGCGGTATCCCAGAGACCCAAATTGACAGTCTGCCCATCAACCATTACATTGGCGCTAAAGTTATCAAAAACAGTAGGAACATAATCCTGTAAATCATAACACAAGTACCCCAAAACCCCATTACAACAATTTAACAAACAAATTCAATGCAAGAAAACAAAAAGAAAGATGAAAATGCAGATTTGTGTAAGATGAAGAAGAAGGGAATGTCATAACATACAGTCGGAAAAGTGTTGCTTGTATAAGATATAAGGAGACAAGTCTTTCCCACAGCTCCGTCCCCAACTGTCACACATTTTATGAATTTTGTTTGCGTTGTAGCTGCCACCGCCGCCGCTGTTGTAGCTGGTGCAGTACTCATTGTATGCACATAAACTTGAACTCTAATCAAGCCTGAGTAGTTTCTGGGTTGCTTTTATTCTCCTTTTTCTGCGGCATAATTTGATCAAAGGTTAAATGTAAGTCTCTATGAGCTTTCTGAGGAAAGAAAAATAAAGTAAAATGGTGGATCACTTTAATTTGAGCTGTCGGAGAGGCAAAAGGAGAAAAAGTATGGGAAATACTCCAATCCCTAATCTTCTTTCATTTCCACGCGATTTTCGCTTCATGTGAACGTTGGCTCCATTGAATTTATTCCATTTTTTTTTCTTCCTTATTTGATTGATTATCATAGTGGAATTTAGAGCTTACTTGGAATACTGATGAGTGTTAAGCACGAGAAGCGACAGCGCGTGGACAAAGTTCTCCTTAGAGGTTAAAGATGACACTGGAATAATTGTCGGGTTTGGACAAACGAAAGGTCAACTTTAAGGAACAAACATAAACATTAACACACTCAATCACGCTCGTCACGCGCTTATACATTTGATTAAGAATGAGTAAAATTTGACAAAACTTGAATTTCTCTTTAATTTTTAATTTATTTGATTTATTCGTATTAAATCAAATTATTCAATCACTGTTTGAGTTTGAGTTTAAATTGAATTAAAATTTAAGAATATTATTTAATTTAAAAAATTAAATATTTAGTTAAATATTTTAAAAGTTTTTACTTCATCTTAATTTTACTTTTTACTAAATTGAATTACATGCTTTTAAATCATTATATAGTACCTGTGTATTTTCCGTTCTTCTTTTTAATAATATTTTTAAATTTTTTTAATTTAATTTCTCAAATTTACACGATTACTTCAATTTATCATTCATTTGAAGTCAATTTTTTATTAAACTTGAATTATGTGTTTCTATATCATTATAGAATACCTATGTAACTTTAATTTTTATTATTAACTATAAATTTACTATTTTTCTATTCAGTATGTTAATTTTGTATCGTATTCAATTTGGTATTTTAAATGTATTTTTTTAAATCTTTCTTTCCATCAATTCTTTGATTCTTTTATACTCTCACCAATAATTCATCATCGAAATACCTTTATGGAAAAAAATATTATAAATATATTTTTAAATGTTAGATTGTATTTGAATTATTAAATAATATTACAATGTGAAAAAGAATGTGAAGAAATATATATATATATATATATATATATATATATATATATATTATAATAAGAAAAAGTAAATAAATTATAACTAATTTGTATCATAATATTATAAATAATTATAATTAGATTTGTATAGAAATTAAAACAATTTAACTTGACTCGTTTTATAAACTCGACTCGAAAAATTTCAAATAAAATTTAAGTCATAAAATACAATTTGTCACCTCAATTAACTCAAATTTTTACTTGAATTTTTACTTGACTCAGTCAAATGCTGACCCCTACATCTAATATGCATTTACAACTACAAGAAGCGGAAAATCATATATTTCTTACAATTAATTTTCTCAATTTTTACTGTTAATCTCAATCATCTATTTCATTTATACACATCTTTAAAAAAATATAAAACTAAAAGTATATATATATATATATATATACTCTTAATAAAGCTGTTTCTTTTTGTTAAAGGTTTCCATTAGATTTATTGACTTTGTGCGCTGCACATGCTACTTGCTTTTTTTTTTTTTGAAAAGCCCTCTATTTCGTAATCTATAGATTCAATTTGATGACTTACTGTGGAAGGGAAGAATTTATTAGTTATACAGCCTTTGCATAACATGACATAAACAAGACATGTCGCATAATGTTCCTTGCTATTAAACACTGTTGGTTGGATTGTTAGCATAAACTCTTCATCTCTCAATGTTCATCAGCAATCCCACAAGCTTTAGATAGTCCACCAACATGATGCAATGAAGAGCTTCTAAGCATTATGGGTAAAACAAGGATCGAAATTGTCATCCTCAATGATTAAAGGGAGTATTAATCTTCTTTAAAATCTTGAGTTTAAATAGATGCATCTGTATGGTGTGTGCATTATAAATGATAATCACTTCATACAGATGAAAATTACCATTAAAAAAAACTCAACTATTTTGAAAGACGTAGATAACTGCAATTTGCATGCATCAAGGGAACAAAGGATATGAAACCAGTCATGACCAACAGAGTTCGCAGCAGTCGGTGCTTTGAAGTGGGATCTTTCTGGTTTCATGGATATTTGTATATAGAAAAAAGAACGGCATGGCCTTTTTCTTTGATTCCTTGGTCTTGAAGCTTCAATATCAACTTTTTTTTTTTGACTTAATAAAAAACAAGTAGCCCCAGTACTGAAAAAAAAATCAACTTTCAACATCAGCGGACTCGGCTCTCCATCCATTTCCCTTGAAATAAATAGAAATCCACCAACACACTAATAAAATATACTCGTTGAATATATGGACAAGAGATAGTGGTTTATGATAGATTTTTATATATTATTGATGATGAGATGAAATTCGAGTATTAATACGTGATTAATGCGTTATTGGGCTACTCTCTGATTCATTATGAACTATTAATTTGCAAATACACTAATTTTTTATTCAAGTATACTTATCTTTGTTTAATGTTTGTTGTCATGACTTAATATTATATATATCTATATATATTACTTATCATAATGATTGTCCTCTTTGATTAGTCATGATTACCCATCTAAACTATATAAGCTTATTTCGTTTGTTTTGATTGTTTTCTCAGGACATCGATATCTGTAAAATGTTCAGGATTATATTTTAAGGATTATAAGTCAATTTCAATCCATTTTCAGTGTAATCTTTCTTAGTTAAACTCCTACAATGATGACTATGCATATAAGTATTTCTATGTGTGTTATGTAACATATTGAGCCATATTTTGTAGAAGTTTAATGATTTGTATAAACTATACTAAGCATGCTTTTATTTTCTAAGTTTTTATGATGTTTTGACGATGATTATGTTAAATAGTAAGTATGTGAATCGTGTCATAATTTATAAAAAGAATAGGGTAAGTAGGTATTTGGATAATACATGCATGTTTAGTCTATGCATGGAGAAATTGAGTGTGTTTAGTACATATTTTAAAATACTAGGTGTATTTGTGAGGTTATGGTGATCTTTATATGTCTCAAAGTTTATTTTAGCATTTTCTAATTGGTTGATGATCGAGGCATGTTTGTAAGGAATTATAGCATGTTTAAAAGTTTGTTTTTTACCATTTGTTGTAGATGGTATCAAAACTACTATGGTGATATTGATATTAATCAACAAATTTTTTTTTAAAATAATGTCATGTTGGTATCGATACTGTTAATGAGAATCAGTATTGTTCTTTAGTATCAATATCAGTGGTATGGTATCAATACTAACAGTTTAAAATTGTATTTTTTTTAAAAGCTCTTCTATTTTGATATGCTTTGCAATATGACCTCTATGACTGTATGAATTAGGCCTGTAAATGAACTGAACGTTCAGCGAACCGTTCATGAACCGTGCGGCGGAAAGTTCGTTTATGTGCGTTTATTTATTAAATGAACAAACATGAACAAGATTGTGTGTTCGTTTAATTAAATGAACGAACATGAACATAGGTCTCGTTTGTTCATTTACGTTCGTGAACGTTCGGTTATGTTCGTTTATATGCATTTAGTTTTGTTCGTTTATGTGCGTTCATTTATGTTTAACCTAATATTCTTAAATCAATTTTGGTGACTAATTTGTATGTATCTTAAAAATATTAATTAATATGATATTTTGATGACCAACTTCATAATTAACCCAATTTTACAGCCTGATTAAGCGGTAATACAAAAAACCCTAAATCTAAAAACAATATTTTCTCAACTCTTCTCAAACCCGTCATTCAGCTGTTCTTGATTCTCAACTCTCCCCACCCTCCACAATTTTCATTTCTGCAACGATTCGACGGAGCTTCAAGTCTTCAACTGCAACGATTCGACAAAGCTTTATCTCTTTCCCTTCTTGAACGTGATTTCATAAGGTAAATAATTTGAATTTTTTTTGGTCTGTTAATTTTGGGGTGTGAATTTAGGGATTTTTTATGGCATCTTGAACGATGTGGAACCCCTTGTACGCGCGCTATGAACGGTGCATTCGACCAGTCGGTCTTCTCCAGCCCACCCCTCGTTGCCCAGTCATCCGCGTTAGAGTTGCCCTTAGGGAGTCCCAGTCAGATTTGCGCTTATATCCTCTAGTGGGGGAAGAAAGTGGCGTGGTCAGTGGAGCGCTGCTGGATATGGCTGCAATGTTGCGGAGGAATGGAAGGAGGTGAGTCGAGGTATTTGAATTGAAACGAGTCAGAGTCGGGCATAAGGAAGATGAGGGACTCGCATGGTAGGAAGGTTCGGGGCTTGGGAAAGATGAAGACTGTGGACTGGGATGGTGGAAGGAGAACAATATTAAATTTAACATTTTGTCAAGAATGGCTGCTGACATATTGGCAATTCCGGTCACTACTGTTGCTTCTGAATCTGCTTTCAGTGTTGGTGGGAGGGTTATTGATCCGCATCGATCCTCTTTAGGAACTAAGATGGTAGATATGCTTGTTTGTGGAGCTGATTGGTATCGTCAATACTATGGGTTGGAGAAAAATAAAAACAAGGTATTTTTATGTTTTAAGTTTTATTGAATTTGGTTTTACAATGACTAATATATTTTTGGTTTTTTGATTTGTTGTAGCAAAACGAAGATATCATACATGTTGAGATTCCTTGAAAATGAGGATGAATGAATTGGTATAACCTCGCTAATTTAGTATATTTTTCATCTTTTGTTATAACTCCTTTAATTTAATATAATTTTTTGTTTGATTTTGATCAGGATGGATGATGAATTAACGACTGATATGAATGCAAGTTGAATATGTTACGAATATTATTGAAGTTGTTTGGATTTCAAGAAGATTGTTTTGTTGAACAAATTAACTTTAAGACTTTATTATATTCATATAGCTTACTTATGATTTATGTATATTTTTGTCGTGTTCGAACAAATTAACTCTAAAGTTGTGTGAATCATTTAATATCTTTAAAAGATTGATCGAAATATCTAATATCTTCAAACATTTCATCACTGCTAATCAGCTCTTACGCTATTATCACTGTAGATTTGGTTGATTTGCATTGTCGACTATTTTGCATGAAAGAACAATGGAAGGTAGGGTCTCCAACGTTTATGTTCGTTTATGTTCGTGTTCATTTATGTTCGTGTTCGTTTATGTTTGTGTTCGTTTATGTTCGTTTATTTATTAAATGAACGAACATGAACAAGCTATATTCCTTAATGAACGAACATGAACAAAAAAATTTTTGTTCGTTTATGTTCGTGTTCGTTTATGTTCGTTTATTTATTAAATGAACGAACATGAACATACATCCGTTCGTGTGCGTTCGGTTCGTTTACAGGCCTAGTATAAATTACAATTCAATCCTTTGTTTATGAATGTTTAATGACATGTTCAATGTATACTTAAATTTAATTCAATTTTGATTTGAATCCCATATCGATTAGTTAGTGTGACATCGTCGGTCTAGTTCTCAATTAGGTCGGTTTGGAGATGTTACAGTCAATACATTGTTTTGGCACCTCATACCTCTAGCACCACGTGATTTCAAATGTATTTTTCTGATACCCCATGTCTCTAACATCACACCTATCTACATGATGTTTAATTGATGTGATAACAGCTGTCAAACATGAATAATCCAATCAATTCGCTTTCAGAAAAGTTGATCAATTAAATGAAATAAATCTCATTTTTTTTATCTCAAACTAATCGTTTTAAATATCGTCAAGACGCACCCTTGTAATTCACGTATCAATAGACGCACCCTGCCGCTATAGGATGGATCTCCCTCTTTTACGAAATCTCTCCTTAATTTTTTGGTTTCCCCAACTTTCGAACACCAAATCTGTGAGTTATTTATCTACCTCAATCAAAATGAATCATCGTGAACCGTCCTCTCTTATCCATATCTTCAGCAATACTACACTCCCCAGCTCAATTCAATCAATGTATTTTCCAAGGGAACTTGAAAATGACCCCTTGGAGCATGGCCTGTACTTGATTTCCTTGCCGAGGTTTTCGTTTTCAATTCATTTTCTTTTGACCGAAAAAAGAATATTGTAAGCGGCACATGCTTTATTTAATAACAATTTAGAGGTAAAGCTTGATTCTCTATGGGCCTGAGACTTGGAGCCTGTCCATGGGAATCCAATAATTTAAAAAGAAAACAAAATATCCCAAAACAAGAACTGGATAATAATAAATCCTTCTTCTTTACCCCTCTGTATCCCGCATTTTGTCTCCTTTCCATCTTCATCCACTCTTCCTTCAACCACGAACTTGTTTTTTGTTGGTTCGCAAATAAAAGCCGTTTTTGCGTCACCCACCCTGCAAAAACTCTTATTCTCTAAATTCTGGGGATTCTTTTTGGGCTTACATTCATCCAAAAAAGCTTGAATCTTTGTCCCTGCATTGATATTTGGGAAAAAAAGTCGGGAGCTTTTGGAATTTGGGGAAATATTATGCATAGTCATAGAGATCGGGGAGGAGGGGGAGGACCGTTGGATCGGAAGCGCGTTAACGATGTGCTCGACAAACATATAGACAAGTCTACCCCATCCAATTCGAGGGGATTGAGGAATGACAAAGATAAAGGCAGACCCTCTGTTCCTTCAGCTTCCGCCGGTAAATCCCAGCTTTCAAATCGGGATTCACGTTCAAAAGCCGATGGTCAGTTACTTTTCTGTCACTTCCGTTGTTTCTGTTCCTTCAAATGCATTGGCTTGTTCAATTTGATATAATAGGATAATGGCGTTTAAATATATTTGTATTTCCATGTTTGGAAGTTTGAAAATTTTGTATGTTACCATTGAGGTTATATGTTATCTTTTCTGGTTTGATATCATAAATTTCAAGTTTTATTTGCCATGTTTAGCTAGGATTGGGTTTTTCATTTATATGGTAAATCTTAAATTTTTCTTGTCATATTTCTATTGAAATTCTCATATCATTAGTCATTATTGATATAAACAGGTGAGGTTCTTTTCTATTACCTGTAATTCCTGTCCTTGATTGCAGAGGAATCTGAAACTGACAGCGAAGAGTCCGATATAAGTGCTTCCGATGGAGATCACATGTCTTGGATATCGTGGTTTTGTGGTTTGCGAGGCAATGAGTTTTTTTGTGAAGTTGATGAAGAATACATCCAAGACGACTTTAATCTTTGCGGGTTGAGCAGTCAAGTTCCATATTATGAATACGCTGTTGATTTAATATTGGATGTTGAATCTTCACATAGTAAGCATTTCACTGACTTGATTTTTGAGAATAAATTTTGGATGATTTGATATCTATTTGAGGAGTTGCTATTGAATTCTGAAATTTAGGCCGTTGTTTAGTATATGTTTTTGCCTCCTTCGCCCATAAATCTTCTCTGGGGCGAGGGGTATAATGTTTGATAGTTTTGTTTTTGGATCTTTATGAGGATTCTAGCCAGGAAAGAAATTAGAAGGGTAGATAAAAAATTTCTGTGAAATAAGGTGCAAGGCAGCCTAGTTAATTTTGGTAGTTCGGTTAATTGGGACCCCCACATAGACGACTCTTCACTGGCTCAATAACTCACTGGATGACAATCTGATCATGTTGCAGACTAGTTATGTACCTTCCTTTTGTAGTGATGAGACTTGTTCAGTGATCTTGCCAATTCACAATGCTGAACTGCTGTCTTATATATCAGCCATTAACACGGAACTCCTACCCTTGCTTGAGACAATGCTTTGTTGTTTTGAAGAACATTTTCTTTTTACTTTTGAGTTTTCAGTTTTGCAGCAACATGTTAACATAAGAAATTTGACACCTAGTGAATCGAGGAACTATGTTGTTGCAGTTTTTAAACCTTGCTTTTTACGGCATTTTGACCTTTTAGTTTGCAAACATAATGTCGGTATCTAATTTACCTACTTTTAACATTGCTTTGTATAGTATCTCTCATGTCTGCCTGTATGCTTTGAATGTCAAGTTTTTTCTAATATTAAATATGGTGTCTACTTCTGTTTCTTGAATCTTGATAATCAAGTAAATCAACAGCCATCAATGACCATTTGTTCTTACTATTAATTAGACGTCTTTTGGATTTTATAGGTGATATGTTCACTGAAGAACAGAATGAGTTGGTTGAATCGGCTGCTGAGATGTTGTATGGTCTTATACATGTACGTTACATATTAACTGGCAAGGGAATGTCTGCTATGGTAAATATTGCCGTCATTTTATACTGTTTTCTCTTTGCTTTTTGTTGTTTTTGTCGTATCTCATTCTCAAAGTTGTACTCAAAACTTCTATCTCAGTTGGAGAAATACAGAAAGTATGATTTTGGAAGATGCCCTAGAGTTTATTGCTGTGGACAATCCTGCCTTCCAGTTGGTCAATCTGATATTCCTCGTTCAAGTACCGTGAAAATCTACTGCCCAAAGTGTGAAGATATATATTACCCTCGATCCAAATATCAAGGCAGTATCCTTTATATATCATGGACTATTTTTGTGTGTTTTGCACTACCCTTTTGGTCCTTGCATATTAAGATATCCCTACCATGTCTTATAAGATTACTTAATTCTTTGAAAAGATAATATAATCACTAGGATCTCTTAGATCATATCGGAACTTGCATTGATTATAAATGTCTCATCGTAGAGGATCAGCACGGTGATTCGAAATCCCTTTTATATTTTACCATAACAATCAGTCACTACATTCGTCCCCGAGTCGGTTTTTGACTTCTTTTATCACATTCTTCACCCAATATAAGATGATGGGTTTGGTGGGTCAAGTCTGCATATACTTTAGTGGGAGACATGCTACCCTTTTCCCTTGTCTTTGCATTGTAAATATATTCCCTATTCCATCCAAAAGATTATGATATCGATATAATTTTAATATATACATATGTAGTCTTTCGGCATGTAAGAAGTGTTGCATGTTTTGGATATTTGCGGTGTTGAACTTCGGCATGGCTTATTGGTTCATATTTCATGTTAGAAAACCATGGTCTTATTACTTTGATTCGCAGCTTCGTTTCCTTTGACGTATTGAACAAGATAATGATGGAGCTTACTTTGGGACGACATTTCCACATCTATTCCAGATGACATATCTGCACCTAAAGCCACAGAAGCCGATGCAAAAATACATCCCCCGAGTTTTCGGATTCAAGATCCACAAGCCATGAACCAATGTATCGAGAGTTCATCTTTCATAGTGTCTGGTCTGCAGCGGCAATTTTCACCTAAGCTTCGGTGCTTCGTACAACAGTGGGATGCCCTGCAGTGTAAGGTGAAGCAGGGTTCCCATGGCACGTTTGCCACGATCGGCATGCCCATATAAAAAATGTCCTATTCCGATTTTGAAACACGACTTGTTCAAAAACATATGCATCTAGAGTTTTATGTAATGTATTTGATTATATTAATGTATATTTCTGATACAAGCAACATATATTTTGATCGACTCTTATATGGTATCCCTTAACCGTGTGTGCGAGCTTTAACTTTTTGAGGCACCATTGCTTGCTGCTGTCTGCCTGGAAAGGTGTTTCGATCCCCCACATTAACCCACACGCAAGCGTTGCGAGCTGTTCTACGGTGCGGCAGCTTAATATACAGTTTAAAAAAGGTGTTATCGATTTTGTTATTATTTTAAATAATAAAATCGGTAAAAAATGACTGAAAACATTATTATTTCTTTTATTATCAATTATCGATATAGGTAATCCGGTCAAAAATTACGTTTACCTATATCGATAATTATTATTTTATTATGTAATAATTAAATTATTAAAAAGCATTTACTATCAACGACTTAAAATTATTTTATTATTTGTAATATTAATCATAACTCTAAATATATTGGAAAATTATGATGAAGGCGGCAGAAAAGGAAAAATGATTGGTGGGTTGGGGGGAGGCAAATGGGTCAGCCCAAAATTTGTTTGATTGAAGTCAAAGGGTCCTTTTGTTTGGGGAATAAAAGTGAAATGGAGGGACAGGCGTTAAGGTAACTTTGATCCGAGGAGAGATGGCGCCGACTTAACGAGATATGAGAAGCGGCGGCCGAAGAAACCTACGTGGCTGCATCCTATTGGTAGCTTAGAACAGCCACTTTTTTTTTTTGGATAAGTTAGAACAGCCACTTTTAACAACTCCCTGATCGCAACTAAATCTAGAGAAAAGGGCTCGATTCTGATGTCCATCTCTCCACTTTGTGAAAAATAAGAATCTAATCCCTTTGCTTTAATTCTGATCTTCATCCCTCCACTTTGTAAACAATAAGAATTTAATACCTCTATCTTACTGTTGGCTTTGACAGTTTTAGAGTGAAGAAGAGAAAATGTCTCCCCTGCACACAAATGTAAAGGAAGGAAAATAACCCCCCCCCCAAAAAAAATCCCACTTTTCCATTCTGTACGAAGAAAACAAGTGAATTGTTTCCCACTATGTAATGCACCAGAAGAAATCCGAAGTTCAGATAGGAAAAGAAGCAGTGGCGTCTCTTCCGGTTATAATCCACAACCTTTCACCGCCACCATCTCCCACTCAACCATTTACAGCATTTCAATTACCACCAGCAATCCGGCCCAACTACCACGGCCACCACCGCCGGTACCTCGTATCCGATTTACGTTTTCCCTCAGATAATTACTCAGAGCCCGTCTGAAAATGAAGCCACCACGCCTCCTCCGCCTTCGTCTTCCTCTTCTCCGACCCCTTACAAGAGACCCCTTTTGACCCAAACGCCATCTCTCACCAAATCCCCAACTTTGTACTGTTTTACCACGCCCCCGCAGTTCAATTCCCGGAATACGGCGCCCTTCTTTTCCTTCTCCGTTGCTGCTAAATCATCCCTTTATCGAATCATCCACCGTTTCAAGCACCTGCGTCGTGTTCGAGTTTACCTACGCTTAATCCTCCTTTTGTCTCTCCCCTTTTTGTTAATCTTTGTTTCACCGTCAACCCACTCCCTTTTACTTGATTTCCTAACGGCTTTAGCTTTCTCCGCTGCCCTTCTTTTCTCCCTTAACCTCGCTCTTCCTCGCCTCCCTTCTATTCGATTGTTCTTAGCGCGTTCGTTTCCAATTAAGCTCAAGCCTTCGTATTCGCTATCAAGGTCGCACTTGCCGGTGTTTTGGTCAATTGGGTCTCGGCCGAAATCCGAGAATATAGCGAATTCGGGGTGTTGGGTTCAAGTTTATAGCAACGGAGACGTTTACGAAGGGGAGTTCCATAAAGGGAAGTGTTCGGGGAGTGGGGTTTATTACTATTATTTGAGTGGACGATACGAGGGGGATTGGGTAGACGGGAAGTACGACGGCTATGGGGTCGAAACATGGGCAAGGGGAAGCCGATATCGAGGGCAGTTCAGGCAGGGTCTTAGGCACGGATTTGGAGTTTACTGGTCCTACACTGTTTATGTTTATGCTGGTGAGTGGTCTAATGGGCAGAGCCATGGTTGTGGAATCCATACCTGTGAGGATGGAAGTCGATATGTTGGCGAATTCTAACGCGGTGTCAAGCATGGACTTGGACACTACCATTTTAGGTAAATTAATATGTATTCTGAGTTTCTTATTGGTGCTTTAATTGTCAGCTGATTGTACCATTGTAGGTTTCTAGGTCTCATTCTTGTTTTGCCTAGATTCTTGATGTCCGAATGAATATGCTTAGTAGTTGTTTAGGTTGTAGATTTTCCCCTGTTTTTTACATGTATTAGCTTGAATGGCAGATAGGTTTCATTCAAATGCAGCTCAAGCAATGTAGGAGAAGTTTGAGTTTATGTACATTTTGCAGTTGTGAGGGTGTCCTTTTCATTCGAAAGAAATTACTGGATATCTACTTTTGTAAGTGTAGATTTATGGATCTTTTGATTTAGGAACGGAGATACATATGCCGGCGAATATTTTGCGGACAAGATGCATGGATTTGGTGTCTATAGTTTCGCAAATGGCCATCGGTACGAGGGTGCTTGGCATGAGGGCAGACGACAAGGGCTTGGAATGTATACGTTTAGAAGTGGGGAAACACAGTCTGGCCATTGGCAAAATGGAATTCTCGACGTCCCGAGCACGCAGAGTACTTCATATCCTGTATCTCCTGTAGCCGTCTATCATTCTAAAGTAGTTAACGCGGTTCAGGTACTTTTTGGTGCAGTTGGCTGTATTAATTTTTCCCCTATCATTAATTTAGATGGTCCCATCTTAGTCACCTGAGCCATTTAATTTGGTGTGGTAGGAAAATAATTGCTGGACCTGATGGCTAACTTTATATGATTTGAATGTATAAAAATGTGAATATTAGGTGCGAATCTAGTTACATGTACCTCGTTTAGCGTAGATAATGTAGATTGTAGAGTAGCCAAGTTTCACCAGTATATCATACAAAATGTTTAGAAGACGTGCCTGAATACTTGCATGGCTTATTTTGTGGTTAAGAATATCCTTGCAATCTTCGTCGTCTTTTAATGTTAGCAATGTGAAACCGGGACATGTCTGATTGTGTTGTGTCGTAAGCAGCGAATGCAGCGAGAATAGTAGCAGTTAAAGCAGTCCAAAAGCAAATGGGTCACAACAACTACAAAGACAACACTCCCATTGTGTAAGGCTTTTGGCAACAGCTCATTAACATTTGAAAATACAAGAGATAGCGGCAAGAAGATGATAATTAATGTGACTTTCTTTTCAAGAGGCCGTGAAGGAAGATGGCTGAAGAGTATCCGATACTTTACCATAAAAAACAGCATGGCTACATGGTGGGAAGAATTCCCTAGCATAGAAGAACCATTTTCTAGTTTTTTTTTTTTTTGTAAAGGGAACCATTTTCTAGTTAATTTTAGATATCCTATCTTTGTACAGTTTAGTAAAGATGAGCTAGATGTGTTATAAAATGCTAATGGTGTAACCTCATCCACCCAATGTTGTTCAACTTAACTGGTTTCTGTAATGAAAAAACTATACATAACAGTAGCTTATTCTTCACCATTAACTTAATAGGAGTTTAATAATTAAAATAAATATATTAATATTAAAGATTAAATATATCATCATACTTACTAATTTATTACAAAAATCATTTATTGAGATAAATATCAATCTCGAAATTAACCTTACCAAGGATCATTATTGAGATGAAATGCTTTTTGGTTATATGATTTATAATAAATAGGTAAAATATACAAATAATATTTTAATTATACGTTTTTTTGTTGTTGAAGATTTCTATTATGAAAAATTAAAAAATGATAATCCGATTTGAAGAATAATAAGTTGTCATATAAAATCAAAAAAAAATTTGGTACATAAAAGTTTAGGTCAAGGTGGCTCCTCCAGTCCAAGGTCAAGGATAAGACCTAATTGAGATGTACATAGGAATTTACAGATGAACAATTCATGAATCTCAACCACTTGTGCCAACACTCACTACCATATAAAATAAAATTTAACCATCAATTTTTCTACTTTGTAATAATTTGATCTTTATTTTAAAAGTTTAGCACTAAACATTTAAAATTATTCTAATTTAATCCTTTTAATCTTATCCGATAAACCCCTCTCTCTCTAGTCGTCGTTTTTGCTTTTATTCTCTATTTTTATTTAAAGGTTTTAGGGTTTCTAATAAGATATGGGGTTTGTATGGGGAAACATGGGCAAGAGTGATTGAGAATGTGAAATGATTAATTGGGTTTGATTTTATAAAACCAAACAGCGGTAGTGAAGACTTGTTTATTTAACAGTCTTGGGTGTGTTTCCATAGCCTGGCCAACGAAGAAGTGAAGTTCATCACCGATTTCTTCTAAAGGTGGTGGTTAACGTCATTAAAACCCTGTTCATGGCACCACTAGATCAAGGTTATAATGTTAAAAGAATTAGATGATGGAAGCTGTAACTTCCACCCTCCACTTAAGGGTCTTCCCCTTCTTTCTATTCTCCAGAATTCAGTTCCAAACATACAAATTAACTAATCTTAATTATCATAAAATTGCTTCAATCTTCAATTTCATTGCATATGAAAAAACCCCCTAAAAAATCGATAATGAAACATTCATCAATCTTCTATTTTGATATCATTTGTTTTAATTTTGCTGTTGAAAGTTGAAAGAGAAATAGTGACAAATCTAAAAAAATATAAACTAAAAGTTGAAAGAGATAACAAAATAAAAAAGTAAAATATATAAATAGTTGAACATTTTTTTAAAAAAATTTAACACAATCCAACAATTTAGAATAAAGGGTTATCTTTTAAAAATAAAACCATATTAAAATAAAGTATAAAAATCAAGAAGTAAATATATTATCAAGTCAATTTTTAAAATTAAATAATTATTCTATAATTAAAGTACTTAAAATGTTATCATAATAAAAAATAGGGTAAACTATACATTTAGTATCTAAACTATTACTTTTGTTCCATTATAGTACCTAAACTTTCATTTATTTCAAAATCATACCTAACGTTTACTTTT